ATACACTAGAAACATGCAAAAATTAACACCAAATACCTGGAATGCATTTTACTTGGCCTCAATTTTACTCAATATTGTCAGTTCATGCCATTCACATGTTCAGCATAAGATAATCACTTCCACAAAATCAGTAAGACAATATACAGGCACTCTCAGGAATTCGCAGGCAGTGAGTGGCAACTTTTTCCTAGCAGCATGATAACAAACACTGCATTTTGGCCATTACTTTTTAATGTATACAGCTAATGCATGTGTACACAAACAAAATGCCATCTAATAAAAATAATGTTAGCTGAAATTAGCACATGTAGTAGAACTGAATACAACTATTATCTGTTATAATTGAACTGAAGTACAGTAATGCCCAATAGGGATGATTAAGAAACAATCAAATCAAGCAGAGAAATTCAGTGGGACACTGGCTTTTCTCCTAATAACCCTGGAGCTGTTGATAGCCCAAAAGTAAGAGGAGAAGAAGAAAAGATGCATTTAGTCTTCCTGAGGATAAAAGGAAGAAAAGCTAGTTGTAGCATGTTTGACTAGGATTAACGTATCAGGACAGTTATGATCTGTATCACACATTATACTGTTAAAAGCTGTGTGGGAAATTCAGCCACAACACAGAGCTACAACTCTGCTTATAGTATTCATATTTACAGACTGAAAATGCAGGTTATATTTAGTTCATCCACCTGTTTAAGGTGCGAAGCAACAAGGACTTCATTTTTCACTTGCCCTTGTTTCCGCAGAAATGAAGTAGTACAGGTGTGTGCAGGAAGTTTAAGCAGTGTGACTTCAATGTGAGTAGCTGATAGGAAGAAGAAAAGTAGATCAATGTCTCAGACATTTTTGCATCCATAGATAATCTGTTAGCTATGCCTGAGAGGAAGCCATTGTCCTTGAAAGATGCAAACTAGTCAGGCCTAAGCAACATGCTGCATAACATTCAAAACCACAACCACAAATGCATTTCCAGATCTCTGCTTAATTTACGTATCTGGGAACTAGAGATTATGTTTCTGCTATTATGAAAATAGCACTACCAACATTAATTCTTCTACAGATGGTCTTAGATGACAGGGTTGGGAGCTGCATTATTTACAAAGTTCTTTGTTAAGGAGTTCGGAAATGCTCACCTTCCTGCACAGCCACAAAGGGCGTCTGTGAGTCAAGAAGCATCCTCACCTAAAATATGCATCTAAAACAGGATTGAAATAAAACTCTAATACCTGTATTTTTTTCCCCACTGATATCAACACTGAATAGTATCAGAACATCAAAAAAAAAAAAAAAAAAAATCTGTTTAACTCAGTAAAAGAGCTTTTAATTAGTATGCATTAATACACAGTAATTCATACTAATACATCAATGTTTAAATCACATCAATGCTACCCATTTAGAGGAAGTTCTATAAATATCAGAAAGCCTAAGAGGCTAGAGATAGACTTAACATATTTTATTGATAGACTAGAAGGTAGCTGAATTGCTTTATGTGATGAAGTGTTTGCTTGAGATACCATAGCTCTAATTGTAGAAAAAAAGAGAGAACAATACACTTAAAAATACCTTTGAATTGTGCATATTACCTACTGCAGGAGCCAAAAGTCATTTCTAGCTTAATACTGTGGACTACTGGGAAGATAAATATTTTTTCATGAGATCATATCCAATTCTGCAACACAGTTCAAAAAAAGACCATTAAGAACAAGCAACCAGTTTCTGTCAACTGAATGAGCGAACCTCAGGATACACAGCATAAATTAGAATATGTCAAAACAATAAAAAGAAAAGTCACAGCTAAAGGATTGTTTGGTTTGGGATACAGTGAATACTGCTGTGCTATAGTTTGAAGTACAGTTAATTAAATCTCCACCAGCACAGAATTTTTCTGTTGGCCTTCACACAAGGCCAACACTTCAGACCCTTACTAGCTTTTACAAAAATGCACTGATCAATTCAGATCCTGTGATTCCTCCACGCTGTCTTTCCTAGCATGTGGTTCCAAATTGTTTCATCCTGACAAGAGGTACTATGTCTTTGTTAAGACTGGTGCCAGAATACAGGAGTGTTGTGTGATTCAGGACACATATTTGTTAGCAGATAAATCAGAGCCTGCCTATGTGGGTTAATAATAAATACATTCAAGCATTTTTGGAGGACTGAGACTTTACAAGCAATATTTTAGGAGGACTGAAACTTTATTTTAAACAGTACAAGTAATTCAACAATAGAGCTTACTTAACCACATCACACTCGCGCCCACTGAGGTCACTTCTCAGTTTAATTTAGTTTCAAACATCCAATTTCATCTCTTTGACAACAGTTACAGTGCTTACTGTACTGTTGCAGTGCAACTGTACTGTACAGTGCAACTGCAACTGTTGAAAGCACTGATCTGGATGCAGGTTACAGCCCGAATATCATAGCAGTTCAAGACCAGAAAACATCCTAAAGCACAAACAAAGAAAAGAAAATTCTACCAGTTCCAAATACTGTTATTCTCAGGGGAAAAAAAAGCTGCAAGGCAAGAATAAGAGTGCCCAGCAGGGAAGTAGCATTACAGTAAGGGCACCAGAGGAACACAGGTTGCTTGAGTAACATCCCACCTCCAGAGATAAACATGAATGCTTCAGAGTGTTTTAAAAGCCCCAAGACACTGATTTTGCCTACAAACAGCTGCCTATCCATAGAAAACATTTCTATTTATTCCTACTATTTCATGTCTGAATTCCTATATTCTTCAGAAAAAAAGACTACTTTTGAGTTACATTTTTTATCTAAATGTAACTGTGAGGTTTGAAGATACTGATTTCCTCAAAACCTTGTTTTACATATATTTAATAAGAAATCCTTTTTATTTGAAGTGTATTAGTTTCTCCTACAATGAAAGCAAAAGGAAAACAGGACCTACAATAAAAAGTCAGAACTTAAACCACACAAAGACAGCCCAGTAACAAAAACCACATGTAAGTATAACTTAGCAACTACATTTATAATAAAAATTCTATGATAGACCTATAACAACAATTTAGCTGAAACCCAATATCACAAAGAAATTAAACTGCACAACAATAGAAAACAAAAACACAACCAAAACAACCCACCACCCAGCAGTAAAAAGCACAAAACAACCTGCCTTGGGGCTGTGCTTATATAGGTCCCTGGTAGGGTGTAGGTGAGGTCCCAAGTGGGGGCTGCTTGAGGCCCTCAACACATGTATGAGCTCACACAGCTTTCTGGGAGCTTTCACCTATATAAGGGTCTGTATGTTAGTTTTGGACCTTGAAATGGCTTGTGAAGGTTATTAGCTGCTTTTTGTTTAACTCTTAAAAAGGAGATTTAGCGTTTTCCTGTTTTCTTTAAGGCATGGTGTATTAGGTCTGTTTGTAGGTGTTTGGGTTTTTTTGTGCTTTTTAGTTGTTGTGGATTTTTTTTTAAGTGCTGATATTTAAGATATTTAAAGCTCTTATTATAGTTATTTTTTTTTTTCCTGAGTAACTGTAAGAGTTTTCTTTTTGAACCTGAAGTATTTCTATGAAATTAAGAAATGCTGGTGTGTTTGTTCAAGAAAGGGCTACTTTAGCTTAGCTTGATGGCAGGTAGATCCAGTAAAGCGTATTATCTGCTCTTTTTAGGTGCTGGAAGTATCAAATTCATCTAAGAGTGGCAAGGAATGTAGGATACAGAGAACTGCCTTAGTGTTTTTCAGGTTGTACATCTCTATTAATGAAACAATGTTGAATTATAGAGTGTGGAGTAAGTGTTGTTCAGAAAGAGTTCCCACAGTACAGCTATGCAAGTAGGGATCTTATAAAATGTGTAATAGCAATTATAGGACATATGAATGTTTTGAGGAGTTCTTGTTAAGAATAGAAACTGATAGAGTCAGATAAAACTACCCTTAATTTTGAACTGGAAGAGTGTGTTTACTAATTATGTCCTAGGTACTGTAAAACAGTAGAAGCAGGAGTATTTTTTTCACTTCCTTTTTTTAGTCCTTGCTTATTTCCTTCTGGGACTGTGCTACACTTTGGGTTGCTTAGCTGTGCACATCACTTGTGATGTTTGTAGGCATTTGGGGTGTATTCCTTTAGAAATGTTTTCACAACAATTTTTCTGAATGAGTAGCAGATACATTAAAGAACGTTCTGCAGGTTTCATGTGCTCAGTACCATACAGCACGGTCTTGCATGTTCCTTCTTTGCAAGAACAACTGTATGGCTGTAGGAAGATACACATTTTGGGGTGTTGTTGAGCAATGTTTTGTGAAGAGGAAGTGGAGGTGCCAGTAGGTACTGCTTATGGCTTGCTCTGGATAACTCCAGGGATGGGTGTGTGGCTGCTCCCTGGAGTCCAGGTGCTGGCACTAAACTATTTCTTATGCAGGATTTGCTGTATGAGTGCCGTTGGGATCATATTGCAGCACTGTTACTGCATGTACGCATAGATGTATGATTTCTGCTTCACTGCAAGCTTATGGGTATTTGTTCCTCTTTATCAGAACTGGAGCCAATGTGTAAGGAGTTAAGAACTTAGATCTGAGCTGCTGAGAAGACCCTGCCACTGTTTGAATTCCAACAGGAAGAAACAGAATTCAGAGTTTAAACGTCAACATCTACAGGCCGTTATTGAAAACCCCGTATTCAGCACGTTGAACGTCAGCAGAAAGCCTTGCCCTAGCGGGGCGGCACCCCGCAGGGGCCATGGTGCGTGGCGGAGCTGCCCCGGCTAGGCTTGCGCCAGCTCGTCTCCGCCGGGTGGCGCCCGCGGCCCCTGCCCGGTCACCCCGCTCCGTGCCGGGCAGCGCTCCGACACCTTTCCGTAAAGCGGCGCTCGAGCCGCAACCGTCGGGCCCGAGGAGAGGACGTGGAGAGAGCCGCGCCCCGGCCGTTGCCAGCGCGGCGTCCGCGGAGCGGGGAGCGGCTCCTGGCGGGCGGGGCCGGCGGGGAGGCGCCGGCTGCCATGTAAGCGCTGCGGGGCGGGGCCGGGGACTGAACAGCACCCCGAGCCGGGAGCGGAGCGGAGCTGCGCTCCGTCCTCTCGGTGCCGCCGTCGCTCCGGGTATGGGTGCGGAGCGGGGCGGCGGAGCGGCGCTGCCCCGCGGCTCTGAGCGCGCGTGGGGGCGGCCCCCGGGGGGCTCCCGGCCCATGGCCTTCATGATGATAAAGAAGAAGAAGTTCAAGTTCCGCGTGGAGCTGGAGCTGGACGAGCTCTCCTCCGTGCCGTTCGTTAACGGCATCCTCTTCTGCAAGGTGCGGCTGCTGGACGGCGGCAGCTTCAGCGGGGAGTCCTCCCGGTAGGTGCCGTCCCGGGGCGGCCCCGCAGCCCTTTCTTTGGCTCTCGGAGCCCCTCAAGGGGTGCGGGCGGCGGGTTCCGGGGGTGCGCTGCTAGCGGCGGTGGCTGCGGGATAAGGTACGGCACTCGTAGACTCGTCGTCGACTCGCTGCTTGAAGTCGTAATGCTTCCAAACAAATGCTAAGGCTCTTAAACGCCGGTGAAAAGGTGGAATGAGTCCTCGAGCGGCTGAGGCCGCTTGTGCTTGAGCCGTGATGTCTTGAGCTGACGGGGTGAGTAAAAGGAGAAGGAATTCCTGCCGCCGGCTCTCAAGTCGGAGCAGTTTGGGTGCAGGCTCTCTGCCTGCCGTCGTATCGATATATAGATACTTGAAAGGAGAATTAATGTTAACGGGTTCATGGAGAAGTGCTGTCTTCTTTCTTGCATGTGTTCGAGTCACATGCTTTACCGGCTGCTCCTGCTTGATGCTCCAGTGAAACTGAGGCAGTAGACGGTTGTCCTTTTTCCTTCTGCATTGTGCCCCAGCAGTAGAGCTGACGCCTGCCCGGGTGCTGCCCCGGTGAAACAGCCCCGCTGCGGCAGTGCCGGGTAGGGGTGGACTGCGGGCAAAGCAAGGTGTGCTGTGAGCTGCAGGTTCACCCCACGTTTCCCATGGGGACATGGGATGGCCCTCCCGTTACAGTTATTCCTGTTGTGTGGCTAATTATATTACTGTAATGTTATTACAAAGATGATTAACTGGAAATGTCTCCTGGACTTCTGTGAGGAGACAAAAATTATTAACAAATATGTAACTACTCAGTTATTCTCTTATTAAAATGTATTCTGCTGTTGTAGAGCTTCCTGAAGTATCGGCTTTTAATTCTGTAAGTGAAAATAACAACAGAAAATAAAGAGCACCAGAATAGAACTTTGGATGAATAACTTGTTATTTAACCATTCTAATACACTAGCATGTGCAGTCAGACATTGTTTTATTCTGTATGGTTGACAGGTAATCAGTTCATTTCTGTTCTTGTTTTGTGTCTTTTTTTTCTCCTCAGTATTCTTCTTGCAAGCAACTTCATCGTAAGTAATAGATGGATAACCATTGTAAGGTTAGGCCCTGATGTACTTTTACTGTTCTAATGCAGTCTTTGTGGCCTTGAAGTCACTTTCACGGGCTGATGTATTTCCTGGATAGTTTGAGTGCAGCTGATTCCAGGTGGGCCAGTATGAGTGATGTCAAGGAGGTGAGGCAGAATGTGCTTCCAGAAAGTGTCAGTGGAAGCATGATAAAGCTGGGAGCTATGCTGAAATAGTGCACTGGATTCAAGCTTTGCAGTTCTTCTACCTTCTTCTATTCTGGGGTACAGGTTAAAAATAACAACAGCAGTGAAACATATCAGTGCATCAAAATCCCGGTGAGTGTGTTTGTGCTGGCCTGAAAAAGCTCAACATATGCTCAAAGGAAGGTATAGAATTCCTCTGCAGTGATCCCTCAATGCCAATTAAGGGAGTGCTTTTGCTCTCGGCTTAAGAATAAACTAATGGATTTTCATGGTGGTGATTCAGCAAAGGTCCGAATAAATAAGGAAGAAATTAAATTAACAAGAGTGGCAGCATTTCAAGACTTGTCAGTTAGATGTTTCTTCTTAAAATAGCGGTCGTCTTCTATTTGCATGTGTTTCAGTGTAAGGTGGTGATCATTTTCTGGAAGTAGTCATCTTTGAAGTGTTAGCAAAAGCTTGAAGGACTTGATTGTGTTTTACTGTGAACACAGCATACAGACTTATCTGAAATGCTGTGTTATACGTGGAAAAACTGACAATGTCTCCTTAATAGCTTCCAGCAATTTTTGTTATTGAGGACTAGTATTTTTCAGGGAGATGCTGAGAATGAAGTTCATACTGATACAAACCAATGACCCACTGCCCTTGACTTAAAAGCAAACAAAAAACCACTACAGAATCAAACTTGAAGAGCAGCAATATCAACAGGCTATAAACTAGGGTAACATCAGTAGGAAGAAATGCCCTAAGAAGGCTAGCAGCAGTGCAGTGAAGGCCTGTGTGTAGTGAGTTGTCATGCAAGCAGATTCGGGCAGTCTGACTGAGCTCTGGATGTTGCTTATGAATGATTAAAACCCTGATCCTGCAGGCAGTGTCAACTTCCTGGATGCTGAAGTGGGACACAAATAAGACAAACAAGTTTGAGCTACTGGAAAATATTTTGCACGCCTTAAATCTCTACCATCAAGTTACAAAGTCCTAGTTCGTATTAATGAGATTCTTTTCTCAGTACAAAAGCTCTTCTGGTTGGTACAGATGTGTGCTTGAAGCGCATTAAAAATCTATGACCAGATAAAAATGGCACATACAGCCCAGGACACAAACTGATTTCCAAAATAAATATCAAAACATCTGAGTTGTTTACAGATGTGATTTTGTACATCAATTTTTAAAACTAGTTTGAAAACGTTTATTTGAAAGCAGCCTATGTCTATTGTCTGTGAATATTTCCTGTAGGTGAAGAAAAACTGTATTACAGTACCAAATGTTTTCAAATAATTCAGTAATTTAAAGTATTTTGATGAGGGGGAGGAGAAAAAAAACATTGAATAGGCAAGTAGTAGCAGTGTTTAAAATTGAGGGAAATGATGTAGGAAAACTAGGACCCTACAAATCTAAGGCAGATGAATGCATCACATGCTTTCACTCTACAATATGGAAAACCTTAAAGTAAGTTGTGAAGTTGAATTAGGTTTTATTTGTTTTAAGCTGCCAGTCAGCCATCCAATTTTTCTACTGAGCTTTTTAGTATGACTTCAGGATCTTTACAGTAGTTTTTGAGATTTTACGACAAAGCAAATATACAGGGTATATGCCAAGTTCTGTTAACAGCCCCCAGTTTTACTAAGAGAACTTACTTAGACCTGGCTTCATATGCAGAAAGGTATCTGTATGCATTTTTATTTTTCCCTTGGCCAGTGGTAATAGATTATCTATCTCTGAAACTGGATAATTCTGCAGATTCCCAAATGCCACCTATGTGTACACTGTTCACAAAATGCTGTGTACATAGTGTGTACCATGGAAGAACAATAGATCATCCCAGGGCAGGAATTACACCTGTGAATATTTTAAACAGGAAATGCTAGTATTCTAGGGTACACTTTCAATGAGTATTATGTGTGTTTTTTACAGCTAATACAATGCAGACAAATACATTGGAAGCACAGACTGTCTGCAACTAACCTCACTGTAAATACACAAGAAACAGCTGATAAGCCCAAAGGGTAGATCACTGCTTATAGGCTGAGTTGTTCAACCAACAGCAAAAGAGAAGGCTGCATACGAAGGAAACAGTTGAGTTTTCTAAACCAAAGGATCTTATTTCTTAAGAGGGTGCTTTCAACATTCTACCGTTTAGGCTGAGGCTACAGTAGTTGTAAACCTGGTAGTTAAATTTTCAGTTGGAATTCAACCCCGCTGTACAAAAGGAGTGAAGGATTTGTGTGTTGTTAGGCTTGTAGTCTTCAGTTTGGTCAAACTCCCCTACGTCAGAATTTTGATTTCTGTTATTTTAAGCTGCTTATGGTTCACTTGTTCTTTTATGATCTGTTCAAAACGGTCAGAACTAAGTTGCTTATTGTATGTGTGTGACAAGAATATTGATAGAGATGGGGGGGTGCTGAAAATGAATTTTTTTAATCCAGATGTTTTCTCCTGAAGATTCCAGAGAAGTTAGTATATGATAAGCTTTTGAGTTCTGAGAGGTAGTTGCAGAGCTCCTGGGTTACATGTAATTATATTCTTATTTCTGAGATACTAGGTGGAAAAGTAATTTTCTGCTGTAGAATTCAATATCTTCTGGACAATAGGTATTTCTTGTTTCTACTGATGCTTGGCTGCCTCTTTGCCAGCCAACTGTAACTACATTTGCTTTGTGTGGCTGTGGCAAGCACATTTTCTGCCCCAGTAGGCTCTTTAAATTGCTTTCTAATCATTGTTTCTCTTCCTGCTGCTATTGCTTTTGAAAGGGAGAATTTCTCCTGATAGTCACACAGCTTAAACAGCTTCCTAAACAAACATACTTGTTAAAATGACATACCTGTCACATGGGCTGCTGTCCCTCTCCCTCATCTTCCTGCACAACATATGAATTCTGTGCACAGTCTTCAGACTTAGTAACGAGTTGTACTATTTTTAATAGTTTTTCAACTGCAACCTGATGGAGAAAATGGAATGAAATAAATTTTCAAAAGCTGTGAGGCAAGTTAGTGGTAGGAAAAAATAATCCTAAGGCCTCAGTAGCAACCAAGAAAATGTTTGTCTGGATGGTATTTTGTATGACAAGTAATGGGTTAAAATACAGGTGAAAATGGCTCATTATTGTGAGACTTCTTACTGTAAGTACTGGTAAGAGATGCAGCAACAGCTAATTTGTCAGGAAAAAGTTTCTGGAAAAAGACATGTGACAAGCATCTGTTAAACAATGGAGTTACAGGTTTTTGTAAGCAACGTGCCCTGTGCTTCACCAATGTTACTGTCTCTTGTACTTTTTCTGCTCTCTGTTGAGGAAGGTCTGTCTCTGCCTTCTTTCTAATTTAATAGAAATAGCTGAAGATGAGAATGAAATCATTTTCCATCTTTTCTTTAGGTTGTAAAAATGAAGCTCTTCCAACTTCTCCTCCTGGTTCATCCCTAATGTTCCTCATTTCCACTCTCTGGTCTTGCTACAGTGTCTTTTACTGGGGAGACCCAAAGCAGGAGTCAGTGCTATAGATACAGCCTCACAAATGTTCAATGGAGGGAACGGTAACTTCTTTTAAACTGCTGGCTACAGTCTTATTAATACAGTTTGCCCTCCACTGTACTAATTCCTGTTTAGGTCTCTACATTTGCTTTTAACCAGCAATTTTTTGTAAGTAAAAAATAGCCTAAAGCAGCTCTATGTTCATATTACAATCAGTTTGTACGTATTTTATCAGGAATACCTGTCATGAGTACTATTACTTACATTTAACCTAATTATTACGTGTAAAAATGTGAAATGGAAGATGATTCCTGTCTTAATGTTGCATATACTAACTGCTGCATGCTGTACTGTAGACAGCAGAGCTTCGCAGGTTTGCGTAGTGCTGAAATTTGTGAAAAACTGAAGGAAACATTGAAGCTTTGCTTGTAAATGACTGGTTTTGTTTGTGTTTTTGCAATGCTTAGGAAAAATGTTTTTGTTGGAGGGAATGCATCTTGCATGACTCAGGCATGGATGAAACCATGTTGAAGTCAACTGTCTTTAAAAACAAGAAATAGATGAAGTTCTGTATAAGCGGATTACTACAGTGTATTCTTCAGACATGCTGCTCTCAGCTCTAACTTAAAGAGAAGACTTCATTTAGCATTCTGTTTATTTAGTAACTTACAAATAAGTATAGATTTTTGAGACATTATATCCAGCTACAAATGAGCAAAAATGTTCTGTTATTCAAAGATAATGAGGTTAGAACTGGTGCATATACAATTGGGTATAAGTTATTAGGTTATGTTTGAGGGAACAATCAATGTGGGAGAAGGGGTGAATTTAGATTATTTGAGGAAGAACCAGAGTGAGGAAAAAAGTAAAATAGGTAATGGGACAGAAAGGGCCACTCACTAGTGCTCTTCACTGCTTATCTGGTTGTGCCATGTTCTTATCAGTGCAGTCTATACTACCTTCACATTAAACTTTTTTCTAATTCATTTTCTTGGGTGATAGGCTCTGTTGGTGCATGTGTGTGTATAGGGGGAGAACGGGAATCTCAGCAACAGCAACTGAAGTCAGACTGTTCAAACAGAAGGGAGTGAAATCATTGACTGGTTTAAGTTGGAAGGGACCTCAAAGATCATCTAGTTCAACCCCCTGCCATGAGCAGGGTTACCAGCTACCAGATCAGGCTGCCCAGAGCCTCATCTAATCTGGCCTTGAACACCTCCAAGGATGGGGCATCCAGTTTGTCAGAACAGCCTATAAATGAGGCCAATGGTGCCATCTGTATCTCTGTCTGACCTGTGAGACTGTCTGTGTATAGATGTGGTGTGATTAACTGGAACGTATCTTCAGCATCACTACTGGTTGGACCTGAGGAAACCATGGAGAGCTGCAGCAGCCCTGATCCAGCATTATGGATTTTCCCCTGAAAGAGGCAAACAAAACTTAGATAATTCTGGAAAAGCTGCTCCCACTCCAAGTTAACTCATCTAGAGGCATTTTATTTATTCTGTTTCAGACTGCCAATGCCCAGTCTCTAAAGTTCTTGAAAATCCTCAGAAAACTCTTGTAAAAAAATTACCAGCTTTAAAAACAGCAATAATAATCCTGTTTTCCATGTGGAGTGAAAAAAGTTTTTGTTTTTTTTTTTTTTTTTTTTTTTTTAAAGTACTTATAGGAGGCTTTAGGTTACTCATGTTTTTTTTACTGAAGCTGTAGAACGTCTAAACAAGCACTGTTTTCCTTGATATAAAGAAAACTACCTACCTGATTGATTCCAGGAGTATTTTTTAAAATATTGATATAAATTTTGTCTAATGTAAAGCTTAAATGGCATCTTGAAGTTATAAACAAATGCTTCCAATTTTTTGTTTCCTTTTTCCTAATTGCAAAGCAACTGTGCTAGACAAACTGTTTTTTTAACATGATGGTCTGCACATGGCTAAATTTTCTAATCAGCTGTCTAGAATAACTAAAACAAAAACCTGAATAAACAAGTTTCTAATTAACTAAGCACAGTATTTTTGCCTTTAAGGAGTTCTGACTTAATTTCTAAGCTTCTCCTGATTCAATTTCTCCATTTAGGAAGAAGTAATTTTTCACAGGATGCTTAAGGTCTTTACAAGTAATTTATGTTTGCATTAGCAGCCAGTAGATGAAATAAGCCATTATTAACATGTCATATCCATAAGGGAATAAATTGGGACAGTAAGCCAATTGGGCTAGGGTTTGTTGCTTCTTGTATGTTTTTCATGTTCATTTTTTTCTCATCTGTGGATCTGAAGAGAAAAGCAAGACTTTTATTCTGTTGTTTTAAAATGCAGTTGTACAGCACATAAAAGTACGTACAGGAAGGGACTTGTCGACAGCAAGTCTAATAGGAATTTAGTCAGTGTGGAATTGTACCTTGAAAGAAAACCCACAATTTGTTCAGCTGATGGTTAACTTGCATTGATTCCAAAGTATGGTCTATCTAAAATATCTGCCTATATTGCATTATCCTTGACTAGATCTTACTAATAGTGTTTGCTCCTGTATTGCATGGAAGTGCTACAGCTAGTACATATTTGACTGTATCTTAGTAACCAAGATGCATTTCGATTCATAAAACAACTGTTTCTGCTTTGCACGTGGTAAAGTGACTATGAGGCTCATAGGAAACTGACTCATAACGGAAAGCTTTCTCCAGTGTGCTCCATAACATAGGCACAGTCACCAAGAAGTTATCTGAGTTCACTTCCATAGTAACCAATCAATGCAACTTGATTTTCTGAAGGTCCCTGCATGTGAACTAAGAATCTCAGAAGCTTAAGTAGTAAAATTGTCAATATTTAGCTTGTTTCAGTCTAAGGGGAATTAACTGCTGTTGTTTTTTCTTATGCCAAAATTACCTTCCTTAAAACGTTACTTTTTTTTTTCTATCGTGAAATTGAAGGGACAGCTCAGTGATTTTGTTTTTGTTTTTTTTCCCCTTCTTTCTGCAGATTGTATATAAATCTTTCAATTATCTTGCTCTTTAAAACCATGAGCCTGTGAAAGTAACTATTGCATTTTGGGGGGGCTGTTCTTGATTTTGATTTAATTTTCACAAGAGTTTTAACATAATATCTTGATATTGAGGCATTTTCATAGTAACTTTTACTTGTTTGTAAGAGAACTTTAAAATAGAATTATCCTGTTTAATATTTGTAACATTATTTGCCTGAAGAAACCCTGACCTGTGACATGACTAGATGGAGAAACACTTCAGATGTTGCCTGTATCCTAAAGTATAGTGCTTCTGTGCTCTTTTTCTTACTTGGCCAATGAGATGTGTATATATATATAAGTATTGGTAGTATGCTGAAGTAAATTTAAGATCCTTCTAAGGTTTTAAGTACACTGTTAGGTTTATCAAGCAGTTACTACTTGTTTATCTTACAGCATAAGCAACATACAAATATGCAGACACCAGATACCATGCACTTGCAGTGTTGTGCTTGACAGTGGACATTTAGCTGACTATTTTTTTATCTGAGAGATAGCAACTGTCACCTAAATGCTACAATAACTATTAAAGCCTTCTCTGTATAACAGAATTTAACAGTTATCCAGTGTCCCTTGAACCATTTTATTGCACTCAGCTCCTTGGCTTAAGCCTGTTTCCAGTGCAGTATGTAGATAAGTATAATTTACCTTTCCTGATTTTTGATTCTGTTCTGGGTCTAACTAACTGTCAGACTGGCAGGTTTTTTTTTTGTTTTGTTTTGTTTTCTTAATTTAAAGCACAGAAAGGTTTACAGTAGAAAACGCGAAGAATAAAAGGTAGATTGTGGTGTACAGAGCCTTTTCCTCTTAGGTCACATGCTTGAATGTGACTCAGTGTTGTATCATCAGAATCCGTTAGTCTGCTGCAGTAATTAAACTGACTCATTTCAGGCAGGCTAGTTTATTCCAACCTTAGTAAGTCATTGTGCACATAAGCACTGTAGCTGGCAGCTTCACCAGCACAGCAAGTTTGAGCCTTGTGATTCATCCTTTCTCCATCGGTGATAAACTCTGACTCCAACTTAGGTAGAACCACAGAGTTCTACCTGCACTAAAGATGTCAGGCTAGATCTTCCAATAATTAGGTGTTGTAGGAAGTTAATACAAAATAGCATTATCTGCATTACAAAAATGGAAGAGAAGGAAAAGGGCCAAACACTGCTTTTATATGTGAAGATTTGAGTAACTGGAGTGATAGAAGGTATTGTAGATGCTCTGCAGTTCCGAGTTCAGAAATGTGAGACTAGAAGAGAGATCATTGAGTCTTTACAGATCACAGAGTCTTTATGTCCTGCTACTGACAAACCAGCCAACTATGTCTTCAAATACCTTAAGATTCCTTTGCTCCTATGTCAGTTATTTGAAGGCTGTTCTACAAAACTGTGTTACAGTTTCAGACCTTGTGATTTTCAGCTTTAAATGTGTGGTTATGCTTGGTTATTTGGCTTAAGAAGTCCTTTGGTGTCTGCACTGTTTGAATAACTTAGCAGGTTTTTTATTATGATTTTTCCTTATAAAATACAGGGGTTTTCTATCCTTTAGTATTCATTTTAGAATCTGTTCAACTTCAGTTTCCCTCATGGAAAAATGTGTTCCATTGGCAGTTAACATAGCTGAAAGCATCCTACATTTTGTCTTTTGCAAAGCTACATCATTTCGCTGAGCTGTAATCCTGCAAAGAACAAATCCATTCAGATTAGGTACATTTCCAGTACGTGGCTGAAGTTCCTTTATGCTCCAAGTGCATGACTTTGTATAAGGTTATTTTACATTATCTCCTTTGAACTGGTCCAGGCCTTAAATTTAACTAGTTCTGCTTATATAATGCTTCTTTTCTCTATATTGAAACACTACTACCAGTCTTGCTACACAGAGAAGCATGAAGGATGGTTACTTCAGGCTTTGGAGCAGACTTCAGTGTGCACTTCACAAACAGCAGAAGTAGTACTTGTTCTTAAGCTGTCCTGTTGTGTGTTATGGTCCTGAATGCATACACAACTGTTATTAAGCATATCTTTCCTATACGCAGGGAGGTGGTGCAGGCAAACTGTGTCCGCTGGAAGAAAAAATTCATATTTATGTGTAAAATCAGTGCCAGTGCCACAACAGGGATTCTGGATACTTGTATCTGCAGAGTGTCTGTGCGGAAGGTAAGTAGTGTTTCTTCTTCCCCCATTCTTTCTTCACTTGTTTTGATTGTAATTTTAAGAAGCTGATAAATGTAACGAAGTTCATTTTAGCTGCAACTATGTCAGGTATTCGACTTGCATAGTAATTTATTGCTTTATCTTGACTAAGTTATGGAAATTAGTTATTAAACATATATTGAAAACAGTCAGTCATTCCAGCAGGGCAGCAGAGTAATTGCTCATCAGTCTCTATAAAGGTAGCTCTTGATGGATCCTTCTGGCAAGCACCAGTAAACTTAGAAGGCTTGAACTATGTCAAATGTGAGAATTTAGAATGAAGCACTTCCTGGACCTGGAGCTAGACTTTACAGAAGGCAAATGCTGGTCTGTTGTCAGGCACTCTCTTCACAGCACCAAGATGCTGGCAGGCACTGAGGACGTTATTAATAAATGACCACAGTATAGTTTAGCAAATGTGTGGTGAGATTAAGACTATCTTAATTAAGATCTTATTAAGACTAAGACTAATATTTGCTTTTCTTAAGTCAGTATTTTTAGTGGTTGGCTTGCATAATTATTAGTGTTTCTTGTTTCTTTTTTTTTGTTCCTAGGAGTTAAAAGGAGGAAAGGCATATGCAAAGGTAAATTGAGATATTAAATTTAGCTTATGGATTGTCTTTTATTTCTTCTAATTTTAAGTAATTCTTGAATAGTACTGGAATACCTGTGATTTCCATAAGTGTACTGTGGTGACAGTTGTCTGAACTCTTGATGAGCGTGTTTAATACTTATTTTATCACCAGAATTTTTTCTTTCAATTATTTTGAAAGGGTTGATGAAAGTAAACCTTTTTGCATATATATCTTTCAAAAGAAGGCGTCAAATTCTCCTTTCTCTTATTTTGACACTGTCATAGGTAAAAGAAGATCTATGTAGAATTTGATGCTCAGCTTTTCAATGTTTTGTCTTGTGCCTCTCCCTTTAATAGACATCATCTTAACTGCAAGAAACTATTGTTGAAACTACTGTGCATGTAGAAAGTGCTTTCATTTAGTAATATGCATTCTACTAACTTTCATTTTTTCTTTAACAGCTGGGCTTTGCAGATTTAAACCTAGCAGAGTTTGCTGGATCAGGAAATACCACTCGTCGCTGTTTATTAGAAGGTTATGATACCAAAAATACAAGACAAGATAACTCCATTCTCAAAGTAATTTGTTTCTTTTTTTTCCACAATTAAATTAATAAAGCAGAAAGGATGTGTTATGTTTAAACATGAAATGAAGTTTTAAAAAGTATACCTGCTGAACCTCTTCCTAGAGGGAAAATTAGTTGAAGTGAAAACATAAGCCTCATTTAGACAGTATCATTAAAATCCATATAGTCAGCAATGGAATTGGTCCTACTCTTGGATATAGAGCTAGATAGCTGTAAAACAAAAGCTTTCAAATGGTATTCCTACTCTAACAGCAGTGGAAAAATAGAATAGTGAAGTATAATGGAAACACTAAATACATCTGAGTGTGGGAATTACATCTCTAACACTGGACAACTTCCAGTGCGGGTCTCCAAGTGAATTTTAATTGTCTTATGTGTAAGCCAGCTTTAACACCTCCATGAATCCTGTAACCTAACCTTTTATTTTGGGTAGTAGGAAATACAACAATTGCCAAGAATTGCTGAAACTCACCCTGCTTGTCTCTCTTTTTAGTTTATGGAGAATGAGAAATGAAGTAAGCTCCATAGAGCTCATTACAGAAGGTTGCAAGTAAATTAAAAAAAAAAAAAAGTTTGTCCTGCCAAGACACTAGAATTTATTTCTATTAGTATACCATTCATGCGTGCACTTTCTGGTGTCTTAAATATACTCTGAATTTTAATTGATGGTTTTGACCCAGCCAACAAGCCTTCTCAGTATATTGCTGTTCTATGGTATTATTTACCTTTTGTGGTTTTACTTTATCTGTGATGTTTGCACAGATAGTTCTAGTGTGCTGGCAGTTTGCTAAACACTGTTAGCAAACAACATACTTTAGCATCCACTGTTTTAAACAAAAATCTTTTTGCTCATGAATCTTCTAGTTTCAAGGGAAAAATAAGGAGACACGAATTCTCTCTTAACTAGTAATGGTTTTAAGATAATTATTTATCGGCCTGTCTTTGACAGAATTTTTAAAATGTAATTCTGTTTTTTTTCAAATGCTGCTTTGTTTTGTGTACTCACAGTACATATGTAAATATGCTTTTTTTTTTTTTTTTTTGCATAAGCATTCAGTTGCATATGTGATGCTATTTTCCTGAAATGTAGTATTCATGGCAAATACAATTTAGTATGACAATATACTACAGATTATTTTTTTTTCTTATAGTCTTTCTCTTCTTCATGTGTAGGTGTTGATCAACATGCAGCTAATGTCTGGAGACCCATGTTTTAAAATGTAAGTTTTTAATAATTTGTGTTGGATAATGTTTTAGTCAAGCTTAAGTGGCTCAGTTCACATTTGAAATTACATTTCTGCTTTGTGTATATGAATTTCTTCAGGTTGACAACACTTAAATAAAAACAAAACTGTGATGGTAGCTGAATAATGGTTAACATAGTAAAAACAGCAGTGGAAGTATCACAGTTCTCCTTGCTGTTAAATACTTGGCACATTTTCAAGCAAGGACACTAGCCTGCACACCTCTAATGACTATAAAAAAAAAGGCACGTGAAGGAAGCTGTTCATATAGCAGGCATATATAAAAATAGATCTGACTAATGCTTGCTTGAAGAATGTGCTGCTACAGGTTTTGATTGCTAATTGAATAAGGCTTAAATAAAACCATTTGACTGCGTGAAGAATTGATTCAAGACAAAGCACATCAAGATTTTTAGTTAGCAAAGATATTTCTTATTATATATGACAGGAGATAGCAATTTTGTGTATATCATTTATAAAAGAAGTTGTATTTGACTTGTCACAAGTTACTTGAGGGAGGGGTGACTAAAATCCATTCATTCACAAATAAATTCCTTAAATCCTATTCTAACTCTATTCCTATTAATTCTGTTCACTTCATTGATTACTTCATTACTATACTGAAACTAGCAGGCATGGACAAAACAAGAGGACATGTTTCTTCCAACACCATGCAGTCAAGTGGAACTCCCTCCTACTACATGTTGTGAATAATAAAACTAAGCTCCTGAAAGATTTATGAAAAAATCTTGAATGAAATAATTTTGTGAGCTCTTGGGTATAAAATACGTGAAGCTCATAATGTTTGTAAGCTAATGCTGAGCTGTTGGAGTAATTTTCAGGCGATAATAATATTCTGTGTGTCCCTGTTATTTCAGCATCTGCTATTTGCTGCTGACAGAAACAGTATGCAAAGCTACATAACACTATGTTCTGAGACAACATGCTTGGCTCCTTCTGATCTCTATCAAAAAAAGTCTCATCTAGTTAGTATTAGATAACATGAAAAGAAAAAAATGTCTTAATGAAAAGGAAAACCATTTAGAAGCATTTGCTAGCTTCATACTTGCTATGTCAGTCTCATCTTTCTTGGTAGGTTCTCAGATTTTGTTTACACTTTGAAAGCCTGGATCAAAAATATCTCCCAAAGTTCAAGCTAGTGCTTACTAACATTCTGCACTAAAATAGTTTTACATCAATAAGAATTACTGTTTGCTCAAAATACTGTTATCAACTGAATTCAGACTCATGTTTTATCAAATGAATATAGGTAATCAATGTTCCTGTCTATAATCCAAGAATGGGATATCTGCAGGTTTATTTTGGAGTAATAAATATATACTGAAGTGTTCCTTAAAAAACACAACAGTATCTTTGTTTAAAGAATTTAGATGAAGCTGTAACTCCAGGAAAAGCAGCACTGCACTCTTAACTCTAAGGTCTAATATGCGAGAGCATAGTAACTAGTAGGTTTTAACTGTTTTGAGGTAAGTTCCTGTGTACTTAAGACAGATAAGTCTCGTTTTCTGTAACCAGTACAGGCTTTGCATTACTGCCACAGAAGTATCCTTACCATTGTTTCTGAGAGCATCTGAGAATAGAGCTTGTACCAGATTAGCTCAGGTTGTTCACTGTAGGAACTCTTCAGTCCAGCTGCACCACTTAAAAGTCCTGTCTCTTCTCCTTGTCCAATCTTACAAAAAGCAGAGTAGAACAGTGTGAAATCTCATCCTGTGCTTACAGAACAAACAGTAAGATGGTACTTTCTAAATCTCTTCTGTCAAGCAAAGCTTTTCCGTTTTCCTGGTTACTGAGTATTTCTTGATTTCTTTGAGTCAGACCTATTAAAAATATTCTCACTGGTACTGATAAACAATCAGTTTCTCAGCCAATTAACTTTTATCGTCTATACTAATAAAATAATGTCTTTCTGTTCAGGTAGCCAAGTAGCTGAACTTAACAACTAAATAGTTTTCCGGTTCCTTAGTAAAAACTCTGTGGCTGAAGGCTGAAATTATTCAGACTCGGCATTTTCTTCCAAACTGATGATATACCATTTCCCAGAACATAAACTTTCAACACAAACAGTACAAATAATTTATCTAATCCAGATGTTCTTTGTAGAAGGAATAAATGGCCACCAAAAACAGTTGCACAATCTGAAATCAGCTACATATTTTAAGAAGTCAAGATGGCTTCACATCTGATCTGGGGTGATATCCCTGAAAGCATTCAATTCTTGCTTTGAAAGGTATGCAGGTTGCTCAGAAAGTAATGCCTCCTATTTATTTATATGACAACGACAACATTAAGAAAACAAACATTATTAGAGCAAATACACCACCATTAGCTATGCATTTCTATGAGCAGTGAACGCAACACTGCATGTTGCACTCATAAAAATCTGCATGGCCATACAGAACGTGGCTTGTCTTTCAGGTTGCTGTTGGCACTGCAGAAGCACAACATCTACCCATGTCATTGTTCTCACCTCCACACTTTGGTCTCTGTAAAGGTTCAGCAAGTGTCAGTGAGTGTCATTTTTTCTCTATGGAAGAATTCAGTGACACACCTTTGCTGCTTATGCACTTCCATGTCAGGTGCCGTTCTGTCAGACTGCCCATCTGCTGCCACCTGTCACACAGCAACAAAATGTAATGGAATATTGGTGAAGAGCTTCAACCTCTGCTGCCATACTGCCAACATTTGCCTCTGACATCATGCACCAACGTAACAGAATAGAAGACATTACTTTCAGATCAGCCCTTGTATGTTAGACATTCAAGTCACATAGGCATTTTGTGTCCTGAAGTGCTTTTTCTGCCTTTCTGTCTTAATTTCAAACTTAACGTGACAGGGGACGTTACTGTACATAGAGACAGTGGCTGATTTATTAAATATCAAACATAAAAATGTTAACAAATTCCATTTGTATGCAGAACAAGGGTCTGATCCCAATGTCAAAATAACAAAGCATTGCAAAACATGGAGATGATATCATGAAATGTACTTCAGTTGTGTTTGACTACTTGCATGAGCAGATTACTTTAACTGTCATTTTCTAACACTACGAGGTTTATTCTTCTTAATAAGTATCTCTTTAGGTTTTGGTATACATTGAAATAAGCACTTCAGCTCTATGAAGAACTTTTTTAGTACTACACCAAATTTAAATAATATGGTGCACAATGTTTTTTTTCTAATTTGCAAGAGGTAGAAGTTAGAGGAAAATACATGAGGATAGGAACAGAAGGCCCTCTGATAGGAGGGCGAGGGCAATCACCCTGGAATCTCCTCATGTACTGCAACAGAAATGAAACAAAGCCAACAATATACTGCACTGCACAAGCCAAGTAGGCAAACTGTAGTTATGTGGCAGGTTTTTTTTTTCTTTTTAATTTACTATCTTACCATGTATTTCATAAAGTACTGAGTTACATCCAATTCTTAGCATGTATATAATCCTTTGATTTGTATGCTATAACAACGCACAAAACCTTCAAAATAAACACATCACTCAATGAATCAAGAAGAAAGAAAAGCCTTTCCAAGGATCCTCAGATCTGAAGGACTGAGCAGATGGATGCTTTAGAAATGTCCTGAAGCACAGTAGCTAAAGCATTTTTTTTTCCTTTTCTTTTTGTTTTGAACAGGAGCTAGACAGCATGTTCCCAGAAAAAGGTTACAAGACAGCTAGCATGAAGCACAGTATGAATTATGCCTACTTGAAAAAATATATATATCTGTGCTGATCAGTTTAGAGGAATCACAGCAAAAGTACAGCAAATTCTAACCACTTTTCTTCTTACAGGCCTCCTTCCACAGCAACGTCTATAGCAATTGCAGGAGAATCAGAATCTCTGCATGAAGATAGAAAAGGCAGAGAAGACTTAAAAGTAGTACATCTAGGTGTAGCAGGTATAAAATTATGTTCTTAAGTTCTTAATTAATTTATAACTGGCTTTAGAGCTTCAAGAACTTACCTATGAATTACGTGTAATCTTAAAGGGATGTTGACTGGTGGCACACAAAGGGTCCCTTTTGACTTTGTTTGCTGAGACATACTTTCCTAAATAACAGCAGTGGAATGTCTTTTTTTAATTTATGTACCAGTTTATTTAGTGGAAAGTCTGAAAGGAAACGGGCTTGATGGGCTGCCTTTTTAATATTTAAAATCTTTCACTTTCTACGTCACACATAACCTGATTTGCTTTGGATTTATATCTCAACAGAATATTTAACTTGGCCCTTGGCTTCAATTTATGAATCATGGTTTTAGGGATATGCATATCCTTAAATTTTCAATTGGTAAAGTTCTGAGTATTTTGTAAAATACTCAAGTAGTTATTCTGAAACAATCTATGCATGTAAACAATAAGAAAAAATACTTCATTATGAGTTGTTTGTTTTTTTTTTTTTTAACAAGCTTAAGGCTCTTAGTAATTTTCACCTTAAAAATTGTTTAATTTGTCTTAACCACAGTTGTTTTATGTAATTTTTACCACAAAACACCTCGTACATGATTCTATTGGGAGAAGCAGGGTAATTTTTTTTTTTAAGTGTTTACAGTGTAGATAAATCGAACTATTGTATGGTAACTGATAAGTCACAGCCTAAACCACTGATTGAGCACCTGAGGAAAGGCAATTTACCAACGTGACCAGAAAGGGTGAAGCTTGGCTACACCTCTCTTAGACCTCATTTAAGGGCTGACTGCCACTGGGGAAGGCTTTCTGGAGATCTCTCTTTGGTGAAGGTTTCCCCTGTGAACCGGGAGTTCTCTGATATGGGTGAACAATTTTTTTTCCCCACCTTTATAGGGAAGGGATTTGCCTAATTGCTACAATTATACTTAGAAAGCTACTCAGTGCTACTCTCAATTTTTGAGAGGAGAACCATGTTATATTTTGTATATGTATATATGTATATATACGTATAAATGTTTTTGGTTTTTTTTTTTAAGGGAATGTATATTCTTTAACATGCACAGTATTTTTTTAGCAATTAGACCTTTGAAGAGATTCATAAAACATCAAATCCCTAACCTCTCTAGGAAAACTGACATGTGAGTCTGTTCAAGATTATAAGTGAAGTAATGATGAAGCTGCCTTTGGCAGTGTTACCTGACTAGAATGTTTTGCAGATGTATCATCAAAGAGTGCCTCAGTTCCTGACGTAATTGGTGCATGTGGACATTCCAGAACATCAAGCTGTGCAAGTCAGCAGTCAAAACTGTCAGGTAACTGTTAAGTAATTCTTTATGAATTGTTTACAGATAGTTGTTTTTTATTAACTTCCATAATTGTGTACTGTAGAAAGTAAGTATAATTTAATGCTTTAAAAAAGAATTGTATGAACTTGAAACGCTTTCCTGGGAGTTTCAGGTGTGAGGAGTTTGAGGAAGGCAACATTTTCTTTCTTATACACGTAATACTTTGTCTGTTCAGATGTGAGGTAAGTTCTTCCCTTAGCTTTGTCACTCCAGTTAACACAACTGATAGACTTTTTGCATTTTGCATGTATAAAAGCAAATAGTTAATCAGCGGAGATGGGCTTACTTCCAAAAGATTAAGGGGAAGTAATGACCAGGTAATTGTTAGGAAATCAGAGTTAGTTAAAACAAAAAGAAAACAGCACGTGCTAGAGTCCAAACCTGAAGTGAACTGATGTATGCAAGTGTTTGCAAGACTCTTCAAATTTCTTTCCAGGGGTACAAAACACAAGCTCTGTTTTCGGGATGGTAAAAGATGATTAATGATTATGGCAGCTAACAATATACCTCATCTAGCTCCACTGTGTTTCCCCAGCAGGATACAGCACATGTCACTCTAGATCAGCCAGTCTGTCTGAACTCTGTCACAGGAGAAACACCTCAGTGGGTAGCACCTCAACAGGAATTGGAAGTATTCTAGAACCCTGTAAAGAGACTGAGCCAAAAGTAACTAACACTGATACATCTACTAAAGATACATCATCAGAAAAACTATGCAGGTATGCTCAATTTGAAAGCCTTATCTAGCAGAACCAAAACATAATTTATACATCACATGTAAGATCTCTAAACATAATTATTTTTACAGACATCCTGTAAAGCAAGACTCTGTGGAATCACAGTTGAAGAGGGTTGATGCTACCAGAGTTGATGCTGACGATATAGTTGAAAAAATACTCCAGAGTCAAGACTTCAGTTTAGACTCAAGTGCAGAAGGTACAGAGATAAATAAGGAAGCTTAAGGAAAGTAAATGCACATTACAGGCCTGAAAACAACTCTTTTCATAGTCTCTGCAGTGTATATAGATTACTGTATCATCAGCTTGTCCTGTCACCCAGTAATTGGAAAGACTGTTCCCAGTGTAACCAGAGTTGCATAATTCTAGTAATTTTCCCAGGTAATCACTTTTTAATCTTAAAAATATACAAGCAGGTACAAATTCATAGGGAAGTTAGTTCCTCCAACCTCTAACCTGTCAAATTTGATTCTTAACTTAAAACGCATTCATCTGAAAGTATCAGTTAGAAAACCGGTAAATCTTAGATGACTTAATTTTTGAAAGGAAGCTAACATACATTTATACTGTTGCTTTCTAGAAGAAGGTTTAAGATTATTTGTGGGTCCTGGTGGAAGCACTTCTTTTGGAAGTCATCATCTACCTAACAGGTATGTAGCCTCAATGACTGATCCATGGGTCACACTAAATAGAAATGCGTCTAATGTGGTAGTCATTCTGTACACATATTATTGATCTTTTCATCTTCTTTATTGTTCAAAGGTATCAAAAGAACTTGCTTGTCATGTTTTAAACCAGAAGACAAAGGTTTCTCCTAAATTCAAACTCATATGCCAAGTAAAAGCATTACTTCTGGAGGTCCTGAAGACTTAGTTCCAAAGTTTTCAGATATGAGTAACATTTAGGTATAGACACAGGAAACAGGCACCAGTTTGAAATCTTTACTATAGTAAATCTCTAGAGCTGTCTCTGAAACTGGAGTCTTGTGTTTTATACATCCACCTTCACAGCATCAAACATTTCTCTTCCTAATAGCAAGCCTAATTTTATTTCCTTCAGTTTTGCTCACAGTTCTTTTTGTTTTCACAAGTTACACTCTTCCTGTTTCAACAGTTTTTCCTTCTTTAAGCTGTCTGTAGCTCTAAACTCTGTCCTTTGATAATCTGTTTGACATTTTTTTTCATGTAGTTGTCTTAGAACCAGAGACTTTCTTCTCTAAAATCTCTTCAAAGATTCTGGTGTATACTTTGTATTAGTTAGAGTCTTCTCAGACTAGAACGCATTAAAACAGGTAACAAGGTGTTCTAACGTAATGATTCTGCAGCTCAATGTAACTCTAAGATTCTTCTGTAATCTCATGGAAGTAGCATAGCATGCATTTTCAGTAATTTCAGTAAGTACTTCCAGAGTGCACTGATAATGTGCTGAAAGTTATAAAATGAATGTATTTAACACAAGCAAAAAATACTAATGTTTAGAAGACAATTATTGGTTTATTTACAAACTGGGCACATTGATTTTTAACAGGAGAACATGTACGGCTACATGGCACAGTGCTGTAGTATACAGAATTCTGTCCTAATTCAGTTACCGGGCAGTTTGCTATGTAAAACTACCCCCTATGCTATCATGTTGATGAGCTAGAGAGCCAAAGGTACATAAATGTGCATTTATGCTTCAGCAGGAACAAAAGACTGAAGAGTTTTTTCTTTTATCTTAACAGACCTAGCACTTGATTTTTAAGAGCTGTACCTATTTTTGTGTTCATGTGTGTGTACTGTGTATACACAGACAATTATTTCTATGTTTGCAGTGGGTGGAGGCAGTATCCAAAAAATAAAATTTAAGGAAGTTAAATATAGAGGCCTAACAATAACTTTTGGCAGGTCTCTAATATTATTTATCATTCTTTGTTTTCTACAGTATTACATAAAACACTTTAATGCATTAAATGGGAAGTTATTCAGTAGCATGGTAACAAGGGCATGTTTTCTGCCCTTCAGATTTAGCTGTTTTGGTACAAGCTGCTTGGTTTTGTTTGCTTGTTTTCATACAGTACATTGTTATTCATCCGTGATACTGTAAATTCAATTTTAACTGAAATTGATTTAACCTCTTCCAAACATTTTCAGAGTAGGATCTGGAGCATATGAACAGGTGGTGATAAAACGCTAGGCTAGAATGACTTGACCAGAAGAGGAAAACACAGAACTCTAGCACCAACATTCTAATTCACGTTTCTTCAACTGCAAGAGTTGTGAAAGCCAAGAGGAACTTTGTATGAACCTGTTTTGGAAAAAGCATTGGAATGTCTCTTGCTCAGAGAGCTTTATCTTCTATGATATCAAGGCAATGTCTAGATGTCTACATGTTGTGCAAGTACTTGGACTGTTTTTATAAGCTGTACCTGATGTTAAAGTGAATTACTTTTAAGTTGTTCCATAAATTTTTGGAAGCATGACTAAATGGGTCCTGTTTCAATGTTTTACATAGCAGGTCACATGTAGATATGTGCCCTGCAGTTTCTTTTCTAAAGAAACTTCAAGAAGTCATAAATGAGCCCATAGAAACAAATTAAGACTCAATTTGGTCCTACCTTATGAAAGCCTTAGAAAAGCTACCTCTTTCTATCAAGTCAAAGCTACTATCATGTGAAGGTTATGGCTTCCCTAGAGCTCTGCTTTAAACAGGCAAAAATCTTTTCTGAAAAGTACTGAATATAACTTCATTTTAAGGATGAAGAGTGGATGTGAAAGACTCCATAGATGTATATCATCAGCCAGTAATAGGCTGTGTTAATTGTAATTGATATTTAGATGCTTACATGTATGAAATGCACTATAGGAGTGACAAAGCAAGTAGGATATATCAAAATACCAGTGCACAGCAGTTATTATCAAGAATGCTGGTTGTTTCCCTTCGGATTGTTAAGGACGGAGTTCAGAAGCCCCTTACACAGAAACTTGCTTCTGTGCACAAGCCTAGAGATTCAATGGGATGGGACCATTTACAAACCTCATCAGTAGTTTACTACCACTTTCAACTTTTTATTGCAGCTTAACCCTCCTCAGTGTTTTTCTAGTGTTAGAAGGTGCCTTGAGAGGATAGGGAAGGTACAGAGATATTAAACTATTTGCTAAGCAATTCAAGATTTAAAACTACTACCAGTATAACTTATTAAGATAAGCACTTTATTGTAGAGGTATGCTACGCTCTTAAAAAGAATTTCTGTGCAACAGATTTGCCTTTTCATGTTGAATGCTTATTCCATCACTATCTGTCCACTGTTACGTTAAGGACAATGGACTCTACTTACGTTTGTGCAGATGGTGATTTGCCTGCCAGATGAGAAAGATGAATGAAGAAAGAAAATTATGAAAAATTGTGTTAAGAATTTTGAAAGAATCCATATTCCCAAAAATGTAGTTCTGATGACAGTTTGGGCTTGGATCTGCTGTATTTTTAATTGCTGAGTTGCATTTTGTTATGACTGATTGTATTATTAATCAATAATTATTAAAAAATAAGCGATACAAATAGCATGACCATTTTTAGAAAGCTCTGAATGCTTTCAATTCATCTCAAACTCAAGTTTGACATCCTTCTGTAGTATATGTAGGCCTTATTTAATTGGTTTAATGAGGGAAAATCAGACTTTGTTTTCCATAAATACACTGTGGTTATCAAACTCACTTGGTTTTAAGGAAGTTTTGGAGTTTGAAGTGTGAGTAGCGTTACTGAATAAGATGAATTAATTATTTCTCTATTATGGTACTTCAACATATTTCCTGCTGTAAACTATAATCTAAACATTTCTATGGGTAAAAAGAATTAATGCAAATATATTCTAGCTGCTGTACGTGTGATATTATCTAAAATTTCATTGGAAAAATGGATAAACAGACAATACCTAATTGCAAGTATACTATCTCTCAGAGCCTGATAGTTTCCTAATTTATACAAAAAAGAAAAAAAAGCAGCCACAACCTACTGCAAGCCAGAAGATGCATGGAAATTGCATTATGTTGCTTTCAGTACTTGTAAACACTGCTATGCTTTTTTGACCAATCTAGTAGAACCATTAATAATTTCCTAGTTTACTAGGAAAATTAGGCACAGCTAGAAGAAACGTAAAATCGCTGTATAGCTACCTATGTAATTGTAAAAGGGAATTTCCATAGCCCAGATTTGTTTTCTATGTTAAATTCCATAGCTAACTGTCATAGATAAGCTATTTGTGTACTAGAAACCCATTATTTTCTTCCTTGGACAGACTTTTATAAATAGGAGAAAGTTTTACATGGAAATCGAGCTTTAAATAAAGCTGTGTTCTGGCATTTTTTTGTTCATCTTCAAGCTACAATTCTTAACCAAGTAATTCTTGAATTGGGCATATTTTAAATAGAACACCTATTTTCTTTTTTGTAAACTATGCTGTAAGAACATTGGACACTCATGTTGTGAATTGTTTGGAATATGTTTTCTAGCTGTATTTAATGCCAATGTCTTGGACATACAATAAATGATATCTAAATAATACATATTCTTTGCAATATGGTTCTTAAAAAAAAAAAAAAAAAACTAAAAGGAAAGGAGCTCATGAATTAAAATAAGGCTGCACCACTGTTGCATGTAATATATGAAGAAAAAAATATAGTATTAGGAGAAACAATTTTCTTTCTGAAGGGAAAAAAGAAAAAACAGAACTGTGAATGCTATCAGTGAACACACAGGTATATTTTGTGGACCTTCTGATATGGACAAACAACAGAGGGAAAGGTGAGCATGGCTAAGAAATGAGTTTCTCCAATTCTTGCTAGTAAGTAATTTTCTGCCTTCTCCACACCCAACTGCTCATTCTTGCCTGCTTTCTTCTTCCTACCTGTTGAACCAGTACGAGTGTCAGCAATGGATTAGTTGACTGAACTCCTTGTATGACCGCACAGCAGGCCCTACCAGCAAGAAGGGGAAAGACAAACATTCTTAATGCATTTCTTAACACTTGTTACCATTCCGTTGTGTTGTGTTCTTGTTAAAAGCATATCAAGTTACAGTACTTGTTCATTTTTAAGTGAATGGAAAGATACAAGCATGTTAGCAAAGAAAGTTTTGTCCAAATTCAGAGTTGTATAACCAATTTTAATTGTAAACATGGCACTACTCTGGGGGGTTGTTGGTGTTTTTTTGTTGTTTTTTTTTTTTGTAGTCTTGTCTTTTGATCTACTAATGTTCCCCTGCTACCTTTGTTTAAGATGTGCTAGTGGCAGTGCATTTGATTTTGACAGTGTTCCAAGCAAATTGTTTGCTTACAGTACTACATAAGATGTGATTTTGTATTTTAGGAAGCAAATGCAAAGACTTTGCATGAGAGTTTTTGTCATTACAGAATCTCATTCAGAAGCCTGTGTTTCTTCTATTCAGTTTAAATAGAAGAAAAAAAAAAAACAGGAAAGTACCCATAAGTAGCCTTAATACACAATCCAACATAATGATCCAAGCCTCCTTAATCAAAATCATGTTAACAAGCACAGAGCCTTATACCTTTCATACCTGCCTGTGACAGGACTTGAACAGTTCAAAAATTTAGTAGCAATACTGTCTATTTGAAACAAGTCTGGGGAGATGGGCAATTAACTCCTTCAGGCTCACTGAACAAGACATTTTGGTTTTGTTTTGTTTCTAAAAGTTCACTATTTGTATAATTTATTTGTAGTACTTGCTCACTTTGCATCTAAAACAATGGTCAAAACCATTCTGTTGAGCTATTCTAACCAAAATCAATCCCTACTAATTTATTCAACAGCTGTCAAGTTATTTCCTTTATATTGCGTACTCCATTGTATTTTTTTTTGCCAGCCTTGGCTTTCTTTACTACCTTCTTTTTTCCTGTGTGCTTTCTTCACTTTCTCTTTTGTTTTTGATGCCAGAGCACATTGAACGCTCCTTCTGGGTCTGCTCTCATTTAAGCTCTCTCTCAACACTGAATGTGTCACCTTTACACCTAAGTAACACAGAATTGCAGAAGTAACTCAGGTGGCTTTCACTGAGGTGTTTTTTTTTTTTCCTGCCAAATCAGTAAGATGTTCATTATTGTACTTGCTAGTTAATTTTTCTACAATCCTTGTGACACTAATAGCGTTCAAGTGTTTTAATTCAGGAGGTTCCTGCCACAGTTAACCATGGCTCCATATTTTTCCAGAATAAAGCATGTCCACAGTAATCTATAACTCCTTATAGGGCAACAGCTACATCTTCCCCACCAGATTTAAGCTAAGCTTGTTGCTTTAGCACATTCTAGCAGCTGACACCGAAGTCTATCAAACCTAATCCCAAGGAGCACCAAGACTAACGTACACCAGTTTCAGGATCTTTTATCAAAATGTCAAGAACATATCTGCTTGAACAACCAGATGTTGTTAAGTTTCCAGATGCATGTGCCATCTCCTGGTCAGTAATATCACTGCATGCAACTTAGAACATCTGATTCTCATAAACTTCTTTTCATCACCCTGATTTCAGACAGCAAAATTGACGTTCACCAGTTTCAAATGTCAAGTCTAAATGTGCTACTATGAATATATAATCATCAAAAGTGCAATGTGATAGCAAAAAGCTGTGCATAATGAGTCCTGTGGGAGGCTTAACCTCATAGAAAGACCATTAATTCAATACTTTAAAGAAGACTTCAACACTGATTTAAGCAAATGTAAACCAGGAAAGCTGGCACACAAAATTGTGTAGCTTCTTTTAGTTAAAAAAAAGCAGTTTCAATTTAAATTTATCTGTTCCACATAGGTTGTCTGTGTATGATAAGCAATATATTCTTCAATTTCAGTACACATGCATGCTCTAGGGAACACCAAACAGATACAGCCAAGCATCTGTAGTTGCTCTTCATATTTTCTCCAGAAAAGGCATAAGAACAAATGTAAGAATTTATCTTTGTCAAAGTTGTCATTAAAAAAAAAAAAAGTGAACCGTTTTACAAAGAATGGGGATTAGGAGTCATTAACCACTTATACACTGAATTACAGCTGTCTCTTCCCTTTCACGTCTTCCAAAAATTTAGAAGATATAATGTAGCCATCCTCTCTAAGAAACAGTACGTACACCTTTTTTGGTTGGTTTTTAATTTTTCAGAAAGGTGTGAAACATCTTTCACAGGCATGAAATCAGTTACATTAATACTTGCTCATTCCAAGCCACCAAATATACTGTGAAAGAGATACAAACTGCAGACTTGAACAACCTCTGGTGGCACAAAAATGCAGGTTTTCAAAACTGGGGCCAGGTTGGCATTCATGGAAAAAATAAAGTTGGCAGATACGTTCTGAGCAGTTTAGGAATGATTTTATGGTTCCAGTTAGCATACAGAACACACCAATCTACAGCTACTAAAATCACTGCTTTCATTACTTACACTGAACTTGAAGTAAGAAAACCAATCTAATTCTCTTCATTTTCATTTTCAATATCAAGCATCACAGCAGAACAATCACTGTTCAGTGTGACCTTGCCAGTAATAAGCCTGCAAAACTTCTCAAAAGTGCCACAGAGTTGATTTACTTTGGGAAAAGAAAAAATTTTTCTCAGAGGTATATAAACCACATTTCCACTGACGAATGGCTCCGTGCTTTTTTCAACAGCCAGTGTTTCAAAATCTTCTGAAAAACAGTTCACTGAACATTGCAGTTTCAATTTTCTCTCTGTAGGATTGTCATATTCTTCATGTTCTGACAGTAAATGGTCCAGCAGACTTCGCTTAATGATTCGTGCTCTGAACATAACTTCACCGACCACTGCATTCTGCAGGTACTTCTCATCTTTTAGGCTCGGATACACTGCTCTGAAGACCTTTACAGCATGCAGGAACACACAGAACACTTATTATTATCATAGATTCAGACTGTAAAAACTTGTCCAAAGAATTCCAGAATGCAAACATATTTTCATTCAGTCCTGTTTCATTTTTTACATTTCCAAATACAGAAAAAGTACACAGTATGACTTGATTTCATGTGTTGCCACTGCAACAGCTGTTAGAAAAGTTAACATAACCTAAAAATAATACTTATTATATAAGTATATATAAATACTTTTATAGTTATAATAACAGATCTTGTATCTGCAAGTTGTACTCATAGATACAGCCAGGTAAAGCCCAGCAATTCCTTAATGCTTTCAATCCTTCCCTTACTTCTCCCATTCCTGATCATGAGACACTGGTGACAGTTTCCCAGATATAAAGGTTCTAAATTCTTCCAGAATCTGAGGTTGCAAATATGACTTTTGTTCTATTTTCAGAATCAATTGCAAGCATTTTGTCCTCAGATGCAGCAAACGTTAAAAAAAAAAAAAAAACAACAAAACCAACACTGTGACATCAAAATCAGTGAACGCGTTTTATACTGAGGTATTCTGTATTGTGAGGGTGGTGAGACATGGGAACAGGTTGCCCAGCAAGGTCTTGAATGCCCTCTCCCTGGAAGCACTCAAGGCCAGGCTGGATGGGACTTTGAGCAACCTGGTCTAGAGGGAGTTGTCCCTGCCTATAGACGGAGGTTGGAACTAGGTGATCTTAAAGGTCCCTTCCAACCCAAACCAGTCTATGATGCTATGAGTCTACATCCCAAGAGGTTAAAGAAATCAAGTAGACAACTTCATTCTCATTAGCTTACTATTAAGTGCTTTTTACAAAATGCTACCAATGCTTCTGCTGAAGCATTCTCTAGAGGTGGTCAAGGCCAGATTGGATGGGGCCCTGGGCAATCTGGTCTAATATTAAATGGGGTCGTTGGTGGCCCGGGGGGTTGGAGATTCATGATCCTTGAGGTCCCTTCCAACCCTGTGATTCTGTGAAGTTTGACTCTGTAAGTATTACCTTCTGATTAGATCTTTAACTGCTGATATATTTGCACAGAATGATAACAAAAATTTGACAGTCACATTTTTCATAAGAAACAAGATATAACATTCCCCTTGTTTAAACTCAAAGGGTATTGATGTCAAAACCCACTACATAAAATTCTATGACATATCATAATGAAAGCAATTTCCACTATATGGCAGTCACTTGAATTTATTTCGAGATTTGTCTGTAGAGCATTAAAGAGCACTTTACAATTCTCTTAAGGACAGTAACTGAGAGTAAAGATTCAAGTGCTTAGAACATCTTTATGGCTTGGAAACTACAAAAGACATTCCTATAAAATTGAAATATATTTCACTTTACAGGATGCTTACTCCTGTATACTTAAGCAAGGAAGTGAAATGTTAAAATATGTTCAGTGAAATAATTTAAGACCTTGTAAGTTTGGGAAAACAAAATATCAGTGTATGTCTGCATTATTACTTAACGCTAACTCTGAAGGCAAGTATCCTTTTGATTATACTACAAGGCATTTAGACACATTAGGTTTTGTGCAACATAGCACAACGCAGCATTAGATAATAATCTTAGAAGGTAACCTGCTATCTCATTTTGGATTCTCACTTTCCCCCTCACCAACATAAGAGCACAGAAGCAAGTTGCTGAGACCAACGTCCCTCAGCCACGCAGAATGACATGTACCTAAAACAATCAGTCCAAGAAAGACTGAAAAACAAAAACCAACCAGATATACACAAACCTTTCAAACAAAACACAGACATTTTGTGCTTTAAAAAAAAAAAAAAAAAAATTAAAAAATCCCTACAACAGTAAACCAAAATTGCCCATACACTACAGGATAAGAATTTATGCCTTTGTAAAAAGCCAGTATGGGTTACCTAAAAACACTGAGGTTAGGGTGTAACAAATGCTAGAGATCATGACCAACAGCAAACAGGTCCTGACAATCCCACACCAGGAAAAGGTTTAAGGCAATATATTTGACAAGGCTGTGCAATTCTCCAAAATATACTCTTTCATACACGTGCTTTTTGTTTTGCATGTATCTGAAACAGGCTAAATCAGCATCAGCAATCTTTACAGCCTTGATAAAATATCAAAAGATTAGAGAAACAATTTTAGCGTCAGACTAACTGTAGCAAAGGAGAATCTTTATTATAGGGGTAATAGTCTGGTAAAATAAGAATTGTTATCCATGTTGCTAATTAGTAAATTATCTGGAAGGTAAGGGCCTTCATACAATTAAATACAAAAATCATGGACTCAGATACTTCTGAGCTGATTGGTGCGTGCTAGCCAGAGCTAAGATCAGATAGCAACAGTAGACAACAGAAAGAACAGCTTCAGTGGCCGTTTGTATAAAGTCTTACATTATATTTGTCCTCCTAAATGAAGAAAAGGATACTTACGGTTTTGTAAGCTGCTTCAGTGGGTTTCTCACACTGCACAGGTTCTCTAGTTTGAGGATATTTTCTAACAAACACTCCTATTTGGGTACAGAACCCGACGTCTTCCATTCCTGCTGGGGGGTTCCCTACACCTGTGAATTCCACTGAGTAATCATAGCGTTGAGCAGTATCTTGAGCCCTAAGATAGATAACATGTTCTGATCTTACCGCATATTCAGTCTTTTCATGTGATAAAGATGCACTCTCACAGATGAGAGAACGTGCCTGAAGATAAGCACTGTAAAAGCTTTTGCTGGATCACGGCGATGATCATATTCCTACCAAGCCTGAATCATTTACAGTCACAAATTTAGGCAACCAGAAATTACTGTTATATCTCACACAATACTCTTATGTTTATGAGTTTTATTAAAATTCTTCCATTGTGCCATGATTCAGTAAACCATACTTAACTTTTGTCAACACACTCTGCTACTGGACTTACTATTTCATAAACCTGCTTGCATACTCTTACAGAAAGATCCAGAGTAATCAAGCACTTTGGTTACATGCCATACATTACTGAGCACACTTTTAGATTTACATGAAACTTTTGCACAGCAAGGCAATATTTTTAATACTTCACACTTCAAATGCATTAACTGTAGTAATGATGTATAAAAAACAAAAGTTGTAAGTATTTTTCCCAAAGCAGTTAAAGAAAAAGCAAACCAACTTATCACAAAACACAAAACCAAGAGAACGTGCTTAACTACATGAAACAGCAAAGCAACAATTCACCAAATAGGTTGGCATGAAACTCTTGACAGCAAATCACACGCACAAACCCCTGTGAACATGTTTAGCCATTCCACTTTCCCAATACTTAGTATTCAAAGCTGTCTGCATATGATATTTAGTAAACTCACCAACTTTGAAACTGTGCTCGGTCCCATTCAAATTTGTGGTCTGGATGCCTGAAAACAGTCACTCCTGGAAGCAATGTGTTAAATTCTGAATTTGGAGTACTGATCACAACCATGCTTGGAGCCATGAAACCAAACACCACTTCAGGAAACTTCTCTAGTTCTGATTCTTGCAGGTGCTCTATTCTATAAAGGTAAATTTACACATCTGTAAGAAGACGTAACTGCATTTTAACTTTCACAGAATCACAGAATCACAGAATCACCCGGGTTGGAAGGGACCTCAAGGATCATGTAGTTCCAACCCCCCTGCCTAGCAGGGCCACCAAACGTACACATTCAGATCAGGTTGCCCAGGACCCCGTCCAACCTGGCCTTGAACACGTCCAAGGACGGGGCATCCACAACCTCCCTGGGCAGCCCGTTCCAGGGCCTAACCACTCTCCTTGTGAAGAACTTTCTTAACTTTGTTTGTTAAAAACAAAGAAAGAACACACATCTGTACTTTTTACTTTTAAGTGTAGGTCTGGAACATTAGCATAGCTGGCTGACTGGCAACTTCAACTTTTTTTTTTTTTTTTGTCTTAGAAGACCTCCTCTTACATTTTAACTCCTTCATGCATCTCCTTTTGCTACCACATGGTAGCACCACTGAAGTACTATGTAAAGTTAATTTTGACAGAACTTAGAAAATGCTACATTTTGCTTCTCTGATTAAGAGGCTTGATCAAGTATCTCTGGAGTACAGACAAAATTCTAAAGTAAATCCTGATGAGTTCAGAAAAATCTGGTGTTGGTCTAATACTCACAGTTCAATGCATGTTACCAAGTCAAAACCAAGCATGCAAGGATCTTTATGAGCAACTGAGCCTTCATGCAAAGTCACAGTTAAGGATCGCTCAGATGGCTCCAAATAATCAGCAGGAAGAGGAGTTAACCTGTGCCTTCAAAAAATAACCAAAAAAAAAGGTTTAAAAGCATAATACCACAAAAAGGACATTAGGATAGATAAATTTTGCATGCAACTCTACTAGCAAATACCCTACTTAGATACTTAACTCCAAAAGTTAAGTCATTTTACAGGGGAAAAAAAAAATCCTAATACACATCTTTTTTATAGTCAGTTCAATAGGATGCAAAGTGCAGAGTTGATCCAACAGTTGTCCTTCTCCTTTACAAAAATTTACACTATTTTTAAGACACTTACCCAAAGAAGATACTGTAAATTCTGATAGTAGCTTAACTCTAGAAATGCAATACTTCTGTTCTACACATGCTTTACAGAGTCTGGGGAAAAGTTTTGAAGTATAAACTTTTTTTCAAATAAATGAGATTGAAAACTAAAATATATAAGCAAAATTTGATCTGAAAAACTACATCAGTCGAAACGCAAATCAACACTACACTTAAAAAGGCTAGTTTTCTTCATTCTTGAGAAAGAGCAAATGACAATATCAGCATCTATAAACTACATATTTACTGAAGCCATATTAAGCTTTCAGTTCAAATTAGCTTTGAAGAGAGACTTTGGTGCTCCTCCAAATCTGCCCTGTGCTTCAGGGGCCACATGAGTTAGAAGCTGTACAGCTTTCTTAATCACAAAACTGAGTCAACCTCCCATTTCAATAAGGTGATCAAAAATGAAGACCCATAAAAGAAAGAGTTACACGCTCATTTCAAGGAGGATCAGACTTGCATACGACAGTAATACAATACAAGCATATCACAGTCACATACAAGCATAAACAGAATAACAAACTATAGACAGTGCTTCTATACCTTTACAAACAGCATATTTCTCAGAGGCAGACACCTTCAGGGCCATGACCCAGACATATGCTGCATTAGGTGATGTTACAGCCCAACAATTCCCCCAGGAAATCTGATTCAGCTGGCACTGTAACCAATTAATAATGGACTGCTCTACATTTGCCAACTGGTATTTCTGCATTTACCCTCATTTTGAAATTGTTATTAATAAATCATGCCACTAGGTCAAATCAAACAAAAACCTTAAATTAAGACAATTCCAAAGCTTACATTTTCTCTTTCATTACAGCTGCACAGATATCTAGCCCAGCTAACACTTCAATGCAACCACAGAATTTCAGCATCCAGAGAAGTGTACAGTCAGCACATCCTAAATCTGCCACCTGTAAAATAGATATTAGTAATATAGAGCATTTGCATATTAAATGATTTGAGACTTCCATAAATATATTCTGTATTTGTAACAAAAACATTTTAGTAATAAAATAATTAATAATCACAACTATTCAAGTGAACTAGACAAAGTTACAATGTATTTCAAAACATGAGAATTCTTCAAAATGTTTTAAAGTGAGGCAACCTTTTGATATTACAGCTATAAGCAAGCGAATGTACAGCACCCCAGTAACTCCAGAGAATGTCTATGAAGGCATACGCCCTCAAATAACAAAAGTGCAGGAGTGGTTGATGACCAGACCTTTAGGATGGAGAAAAGTTGGTCTATTATAACTCTACACTCTGAACTTCTCAATTGAGAGCATCCATGTGAGGAATGAAGTAAATCTGATACTGTACACGAACCTAAAAGCTCCAGAAGTTTAAAAACAAAGCAAAAAACACCACAATGACAGACAATTGATCCAAAATCCTCAATGTCAAATCAAGACCAGAATGCTACCTGCTCTCCTAGATAGGCTAAGACACGTTTTCTTCTTTGTATTTTCCATTTCCATTTTTCTACTGCCCATAAATTTACAATAAATTATATTCATGCCTGAGAAACATCATCAAATGTCTCTTAAAGCAATTTGTTTTTAACAGTAGCTTCTCCAGTAGCATTGATATCTAATTAGGTCACCAGATTATCTAATCATTTCCTGCACTCCAGAGGTACCTAATATTAGCTATTTTTTTTTACATTTATAACACAAGAAGACAAAACATACCAACCTTTTTTGGTTTGTATTTGCTCACTAAATCTTTAACAAACTCATAGCGCTGTTTGTATAATGGTGGTGTGAACTTAATCTCGCCAGTAAACTGCCTTCCTTCAAAGTTCTTACCCATAGTATTTCAGTAAGCCTAAAAATACAGAATTTAACTCATTATTTTAAGTACTCCACATCACATCAAAGTTCAGAATTGGCTATCGTCAGCAGTGCTTAAGTCTCAGTTAAGAAGAGAAAGATCTGACCGCTAGCATTAGCAAAAAAAAAAAAAAAAAAAAAGGCATTAGCAAAATTGTGCTATAAGTACTTCATGTACAACTGCTGAATCACAGCCTGAACCACTAATTGAGCACGTGGGAAAGGACCCTGGAAGCACAGGTGAAGGCAATTCAGCCTTCAGTGTGACCGGAAGAAGTGGAGCCTGGCTGCACTTCTCTTAGATCTCATTTAAGGGCTGACTGCCCTTTCTGGAGACCTTCTTGGTGAAGCTTTCCCTTGCAAACCTTGAATCTTTTGACAGGGGTAAGTAATCTTCCTTTATAGTATCTATTTTGCCATTTCTTCTATCATCACAACTTTATTGTAATACCTTTCCTATTATACTTATCTGTCTAATTGCTACAGTATGCAACCTTTTTAGTAAGACCATTTTTACTTGAATACAACTCTATCCTAAATTATGCTTGCATTATGTTGACAAAACTACAACTTTACCTTGCACTGCTTTTCCAGCAAGTACAGAACAATAGTTTCTCACTCACATAGCTGTTTCCTTTTTACTCATCTATGGTTTGATTTCTCTTACTATTCAGATGGTTGTGTGTGCATGGCTCCCTGTGAATTCTGCAACACAGTGAGCAGCAAGAGATGCCTGGAAAAGCATTACCTCACTGAAGAGGACTGGTTTTGCTGGGCTTAAGCTTTATGATAACATAGCACTAGAGTCACAACCATCAGCCCACCTCCAACTCTCACATCTTGCAAAAACAACCGTGTTTCAGCACATGAGAACACTTAACTAGCAGTAATTCCCACTAGACCTAAGAACAAGGCCCTGGTGAATGAGAAACACAATGTAGGCAACCTGCTGGCTGGAGAGCCTGTGCAGGAACTGGCTGTGGGCGCACTCCTCAGCTCCTCCTGCCTTCTCAGCCCCTGTGCAGCTGGCCTGTCTTCAGCTTAAAGGCATTTTGTGTTTTGCAGGGTGTGTTCCAGACATAACATAAATAGTCAGCAGCAAGCTAACTGTTTATTGAATAGCTACGAAATGTATACAAGGATGCTTGCAGACTGACTATCCTAATGGTTTCCTAGGCATCTCAAGTTATTGGAATGACTGCCTTCTACTACATTTGAGCTTTGATTTTTCAGGCTTTTGGCACTTATCCACTGTCCACATTCACTTCTGGTTTGAGTAGCAGATATGTGGAGTTGTCTATAATTTCACAACTCTTTCCAACAGTGTAATTAAGGTAGTTTAAGAGTTCATAAACTAGAGTTGGAATTGCAAAGAGATTCTAAAAAGCATTGCATTATATCCAAAATGTACTTATGGCAGCAATTCACTTTAAACAATATACAAATGATGTGACAGATACCTTATTTCTTTTCCATTTTTCATTGTAAAGTTTGGGTGGAAGACTGGGTCTTTCAAAGATTGGCAGTGTGGAAGAGATGGAGGACATCATTAACCATTTCAAGCTGTGTGTGTTTGATCTTTTTCTCGCTAAGAAAAAATGTTTAGAGAAGTTTTTCTGCTTATTCCCTACTATATCAATGAAATTTGTGTTATTCTCACAGTGCAGCATTTCTCTTATTTAGTCAGTTCAAAGTTATTCCCTGTCCTTACCCAGTGATAAATCTACTTATCCTATGGTTCCTTGAGACTGTTAATTTATACTGGAAGGGACCTAGAGAGGTTACCTAGCGCAGTCCTCTGCTCAAAGCAGATCAAAGTTGATCTGAGTGGGTGGCAATCCTTCCCAAGACAAGGGGTTGGAACCAGATGACTTGTAAAGGTGCCTTCTAATCCAAGACATTCCATGAGTCTGTGATTGTTCTGAGAACTTCTGGTCAGAGGTATTTTCCTCATTTCAGTTTAAAATTGCAGATTGCATATTGAAGGTTTATTCAGTTCAATAAGATCACAAATTAAATGCACTATTCTTAAAATAATCCCACTGTACCATAAAGAAAACAATTATATAGCTAGTAAAAGAAGTGAAAGCATCTTACAGTAGAAAATAATGCATCAAGAAATCCTAAACTGCTGAAACTTATTTAATGCTTCAGCGATTGGGATGAGAAAAACAACTGTATGCAGAACTTCATTTTAATGTTTAAATACATATAATTAAATATCATCACACAAGAAAGGTAATACAGCACCACTGCCAGAAAACACTGCGGTCTTAGAGGAAAGCTGAATCCCACTGTAATTCAAGAGCTAAGAATCAAATGGCACTCAGAAGATGTTTTATGACCGAACACTGTCACTGTTCTCCTTACCTTCAACTAATAGATTAGGCCTGTTCTGGAAATAAATCTGCAATAAACTGTGTGAATGAGAAGTGGGCTCTTACACATCACTATCATCTTCCTTTTTTACATTACTTATATTTCCTTACTTTTTGCCAGTCAAAAGCACTTCCTCCTTGCTGTTTTTTTGCTTTTGCTCTGATTCTGTCTGAAGACAAGCATGGGTATCTAGGAAAAGAAAAACCAGTTTGAGTGAGGGGATCAACAGGTTTTAGGTAAGTGTACTGAAGTTTGTTGCACCAATAAAGAGGGACTGTTTCACAAAAACGTGAACTTACAGAGGAAGAACATTGAGTTTTTGGAACATATTGACTAAATGTTCCAACAGGAAAAGAGAAATATGTGAATAAACAATTTGGGTTATATAAGTGATAACAAGTACAGACTGTCTTCAAGTGATTATGCAAGAGAAGTTAAAGCTAAACAAGATAAAAAAAAAATCTTTCAAAATGAAGCTGTGACCCTAGCTCGCTGTGTGCAGAACATGATTATTCATCGCTGTTACTGCATTACGCATTTTGCAGTTATTTTTTTTCAATTTTTTTGTAAGATTAAGTGCACATTTACTGGTGAGCAACGACGATAAGGGCAGCAGAGTGCTGTGGTGAGTCAGGGCGGTGCTGCACGCTGTGGAAAGCAGGCCGATATGAGCTGGCGGTGTTCCTAATAGAAAAGTGTGGCCGGATCGCACGGCCAGCACGAGGGAGAAGCTGCCTGCTGTCACGGCGCGACAGCAACTCGCTTTAAGCTAACGGTGCAGACACCGCGCGAAGTCAGACTACGAGTCCGGGGAGATGAGCTGCTCTTCCTAAGGTCTGACCATTCAACTGCTTTCAGAAAGGCGCGTAGCTCAGCCGGCAGGCGACGGCTCCCGCTTAGAGCCCGGCCCGCCCTCACCAACGGGCCGCGCACGCGGCGGCAGGGCGGGTTTTCGGCCACCGGCAGGCGTATGCGCGCCGCGTTCGGCGCTCGCAGGGCGCGGGCTGTAACCCGATGCCGTCGGCCGCCCGCCCGCCGCGAGGCTGCCGGACGGGACTCGCGAAGCCTTTCTTTCGCGCCGCGGAGCGCCAGCGCTCCCCGCCTCCTGCCAGGCGGCTCGGGCCCGGCCCTTCCTCGCGCGACCGAGCGCAGGCGCGCGGCTGCGCTTCCCCGCGGGGATTGGCCGGCTCGGGCCCGGAAAGCGCGGCCGTCACTTCCGCCGGGGCCGCCATCTTGTCGGCAGTTGGCGGAGGCAGCGCCCGACCCGGCAGCCCGCGCTCCGTTGTGGCGCGGCCGTTCGTCCGCCTCGTAGGCCGCGTGCCGCCGCCCCTCCGCGGGCCCCGCCGCCATGGCCAACAACGGCCCCGCCGTCGGCGCCGGTAACTGCCAGGGGCAGCAGGCGGTCCAGCACCAGCCCGGCGCGGTGCCGCCGGCCCAGCAGCAGCTGCAGAGCGGTGCTCCCAAGCCGGCGGCCTCGGGCAAGCAAGGCAACGTGCTGCCGCTGTGGGGGAACGAGAAGACCATGAACCTCAACCCCATGATCCTCACCAACATCCTCTCGTCGCCCTACTTCAAGGTGCAGCTCTACGAGCTCAAAACGTACCACGAAGTGGTGGACGAGATCTACTTCAAGGTGAGGCTGCGGGCCGCGGCCTGGACTCCGCGGGGCGCTGCTGGCGCCTGCCCCGAACCGCCCGGCCGCGACGGCTCGGAGTGGGTGGGCGGGGACTGCGGCCTTCGCCTTCTGCCTTTCTGCGGGGTCCCCCTCCTTTATCCACTGGGAGGGATGGCAACGCGTCTCTTACTGCTTAATTAGAGGGTTCGAGATCTCTGTCTTTCGGAAGAAACGCCTCTCCCGTTCGTTTAGCGTTGGGGAGTTGCGAGTTTGCTTTGAGATGGGCAGTTGGAGTCAGGGCAGAGGGCGTGAAATGGCCGTCCGAGGGCTGCGCTCTGAGACGGAGGGTGGGGAAGGGACCCGCGCTGCGTGCCGCCCCTGCAGACAAACGAACAGCCTCTGCAGCCCGGGAGCCTCCATCCCCGTATGGCTGCGCCAAAGGCATGGCCCTGGGCGCGGGTGGCTGCGAGGGGAGCTGGCCTGTGGCTCTTTCCCGATTAGAGCTTAGTACTTCCTCACCAGTCTTCTTCCCGGTCAAAAACGAGTTAGTTATGGCACTGCTCGTGGCCCTGGGTTGGATGTGCTGGGAAGTGCGCCCACGGGTCAGTTCTTGTTTTGTTAGCGGGATTGACCATTCTCCCTGGTTGAGGTATGCGTAATTAATGCTCGTCAGCACAGCTTCGATTGTTCCGATAGTGAGAGCACAACTCAGATATTTTGGGCTGCAGTTATCAGCCAGCTGTATTTGGGAGATTATGGGGATATTTTTCTCAGGTACGTTTGGACTGCTTGGTAACATTACTGTGTCACTAAGCTGATTTTAGTACTAAACTAGTCACTAAACTGATTTTTAGTCTTCAGAGGAAAGTAGCTGTTTAACCCTGGAGTAAGTCAAGTCACTGTAACTGGAAATAACTCTGCAGAAGTGTTTTGAAATATTTGGCATTGTTTGCCCATACTTACAAGGGTAGTGTGCTTTTCGTCTCTACGGTGATGCTTTTCTGCTTGACCTGTGGTGTTGTGAACAGATTTCTGATTTCTTCTAGTACTTGGAGTTGGAGTCTGTTTACCATTTGCTGCATGTGAAAGAAAAACCATGTTCTATCAGAAAAAAAGCAGCAAAGTTTATTTTTGCAAATGAAGTCAAGAACTGAAAAACTGATAGATATTCAGAGTACATTGGAGAACATGCATGAATTACATGGATCTTTTCAGATGCAGTCCAAAAATACCAGTTGATGTGATTAATCTTTGTATTGGTAGAGTTCAGCTCAGTAGTTCAGCTAGTTCTGTGTTAGTGTTTCATTTTTTTAAATGACTTCATCTTAAATTGGAGAGGAGTGTTGACATATAATTAAAAGTCAACTTATTAATCCAGTGTAAATAAAGTTTGTCTACTGAGCTTGACAGTTATTTTTCCTTACAAATAAACTCTACAGGGGAAACTCAGATCCTTACTTACTCATGTGTGATAGATATGAAGAAGATGGTCTGATGGTGAAGGTACTTCAGTGATATTTAGAAGGTTTAATTCTGTTCATATTTCAAGGTTCCTGAGTAATGTTGAGTAATTGCTGACCTTTTTTTTTGTCTTTTTGGAGGAATGCAATATCTGCCATACACTTTCATATGTATTTGTTTTGGGAATATGATTAAGCAGCTCATTTCAAAAATTCAAGAATTCGGAATCTTGGAGTCTCAGGACGAATGCTCTGACTTGACACAGGCAGCTAACCATAGGGCTTGTTGTTGAACATACAGATTCTTTGTAGATATTTGAATTAATTCACAAGTAGCTTAAGTCCTGTTTGTTTTAGTTCTGGATCGGTGAAGAAGGTGACTTCCTCTTCCTTTTTGATTTTATGTCCTTATGCGTGTCTTCAGCTTCATGTACTCTGTGTGCTTCCAGACAAGAGCAGCACATGTAGTAGACTTTGTCAGATTAAAACTTTAAGTATTCTTTTCTGAAATAAGTATTATTTCTGGGGCTTTTTTATTCATGTCTGGGGAAAAAACAGCGTGTTTATATTGAAAAATTAGAAGCTGCTGTTGCGATAATGTCATATTTGATCCTTTAACTAAAGTACTTCTATCTCCCGTGAGAGGCTAAAACAAATAGTGGGAAGGATATACACTCTTATTTATGTAATATTTCTGAAATTTGCTGACAGTGCTGTAATATGGAAACCTGTGTTGGATTTTCCCCAGTATTGTTTTCTTATGTTTAGCATTTGGCAAAGACAGTAACAGTCAAAAACAGTCAAGCCTCTTCTTTCATCCCATGTTACATCTCTGATTTCAAGTAATTGTTTACGTAGCAGGTTTCATTTCATACTCTGGTAGAGTTTTAATACCTGAATGGCAGTACAGCTTGGCCACTAGCACACAGTCCCATGTAGCACTGCAGAATTTTTGTCTTATTTTTTTTTTAAGTTGATGTCTTTAGGAAATGTCATTCATTGACCCAGATGTTATTCCTCTGAATTTCAAATGCAGCGTGGGCAGTTTGTGACTCTTACTGTCATCTGTAGGGAATGATGTTAATGACGTTTGTACACTCATCTCACAGTGCATCTCAAAAGATTTGAATTGGGCAAGTTTTACTCTTTATTACCTATGAACCATTTTAAGAACAATCACTGCAGTTTACAGGGAAAATAACACTGGCTTTTAAAGTGTTTGCAGTATCAAATACAAGATGCTTTCTTTGGCTTGTTCATTTTTAACTCTGTGATTTTGGGTAATGTAATTTAAGAAGCCAAATGCTTTGTTTTAGAGACAAAGCAGACTTGATCTTGAGTTTCTGATAAGACAAGCTGATCAAGACTGATTTAGGTAATCCATTGTTTAAATCAAATCTGTATACATAGCTAAATATTATGGATGATTATAATTGTTCCTTTTTTCTTTGATTTTCCCTTCCCTGCCCTTTCAGGTTACGCATGTTGAACCATGGGAAAAGGGGAGCAGAAAAACAGCAGGCCAGACAGGAATGTGTGGAGGGGTAAGTAGAAGTACGTGCTGCCTTAAGTTTTTCTGTTTCTGGTAGAACAAAGTTTCCAGGCATAGCTCAGATTTGCTTGTATGTTGGCTCAGTTACTACATGTAAAAGTATTTATTACAAAGAGTTGATATATTCCCCTTGCTTCCAAAGGAGATGAAACTGTGGAGGCAAGTAGCATTACTTTTTTCACATAGTCCTGTTAATAGATTTAGAGTTAGCCTGTATTAGTGATGGTGTTTGTTCCCGTTAACTTCCTGGTTGTCACTAACATTTTGTTCTTTTAAAGGTACGTGGTGTTGGAACTGGAGGAATTGTGTCTACTGCCTTTTGTCTGCTCTATAAATTATTTACACTGAAGCTCACCCGTAAGCAAGTGATGGGCCTTATTACACATACGGACTCTCCATATATTAGAGCTCTTGGATTTATGTATATTAGGTAAGTGTTAATACAACCAGCTGATGGCTGATGTGATACGTAGAAGGCTGCATTAAAGTTTTTCCATTCTTTTTGTACTTAAAGGTACACACAGCCACCTACAGATCTATGGGACTGGTTTGAATCCTTCCTTGATGATGAAGAGGTATGTCGGCGAGGGTAATAATTTATTTTTTTTTGTTTCTTTCCATGTTACCACTTTAGAACTTAAAACTGTTTAATAAGATTTTCTGTAGTTTGATGCTACAAGTTTTTATTCTTGTAATTTCATTTATTAGTGCAGGAAACAGATCTGAGCTGGGACCTGGATCATTTTTCTTTGATTTCAAAGATATAATGAAATTTTCAATTGATCACTGTGTTATTTATTTTTTTTTTTTAATTATAACATCGTGCAAAACAAGTTGATGAAATCACAATGTGGACAGTAAGCTTTATGAGTGCATTTTTTAAAGAAAAAAATTATATTTAAGCTATAGTACGTGCTGAGAGTGCTGATTTTGCCTTTTGCAAATATTGCTGGGACAGGAGAATTGGTACTCGCGTAGAAAGCAATGTTAGCCTAAAAAGAAATACCTAAGATCTCTGTAAATTTTGGAATATAAAGAGAATATTTTTTGGGAGGAGAAACAGCTAGATTTCTGCATTAAGTGGAGTTACTAACATTTTTGCTCATAAGACAATGAAATGCATCATGAGGTGCTGACATGGGAATTTCACTGAAGCGGATGCTTTACTGTGCAGTAAGATAGGAGAGTGTCTTTGCTCCTGCTTACTGTCGGGAGAATCACAGTGGAAACCTGTGGATGAGGTTTTTAGGTACATCAAGGTGAATATTGACTGTTACATAGTGTTGCAATTTGTATTGGTGGAGCAGATTGTAAATTGTATCTTGGGTTTAAGAGTTGCACAGGAGGGATCCCTTGCACTCTTCAGTGCGACAGTTGTCAAGTACTTCAAGAAAATTCAATTGATGTCCAAATGCCTGTATTAAGAAGCATTAATTATATCTATAACTGCAATACAGTGCATTTTTAAACAGTTTTCTTTCATGCCAAGTATCAAAAGCACTAAGCAAAGGAAAGTTATTTCAGGTAACCTTGTGCTATTGTACGTTTTTAACAGAAAACAAATTTACATTTTGATTATATAGCTGTTGATATCCTCATTCTCCCCTAGATGGTGCTACTAGCTAATGTAAGCTGTGTTATAACTTAAGAGTAAAAATGGGGCAGCGTTGTTTTCAGGGTCTGATGAGTAGCTTGATTCCTTGGACAATAAACAAATCACAAATGTGATTCATTGTGCAGATCTTAACTGGTTTATTATTCAGAGTACCAATTTTAGTTCATACGCTTTAGTCCTTACAGTTCTTGGTTATCAGAGTGTATTTGTTTGTTGTTGTTTAAAATGATCCAGAGTATTTTTTGAATTAGTGTTTGATTCCCAGCTCCTTTCAGTAGCATCGTGTTACCTAGGGAAAAATTGCTTGGGGCTGTTTTAAGTTGCTTAGCCCTAGTCAGACTCATTGGATGAAGCAAATTTATCTGTAAATTTAAACCTACCGGATTTTTTCCTCCAGTTCTAAAGTATGTGGAAGCACTTCATCTTTTGACATGCTGCTGTGAAAATGAAAGACTTCTCAGGATACACAGCTACTTTTCAAAATGTTTCTTACGTTTATTTTGTTAACTGTACGTACTCTCCAGGTGCTACGTTTAACTCATTTTTTTCTTCTTTAGATCTCTGCAGCGATTATATTTGGAAATACTGTATATCTGAACACTTAAATGTGTGTGAGTGCAAGCAGTTTTACATTTAGATTTTCTCTTCCTGTTTAGATAACAAATCTCACTTTCCTTGTGTGCTTGCACTATAGGTTTGGGACTGACAATAGCTGACTAACATGTCCTGAGCTGTGAGAGGGCATAGCAAGAAGGCCTTCATGCGGTAATGACCCTTTTCAGAGACAATGGTCATCATGGATTATGCGTTTCCAATTATTTGTTCATTTATTTATTTTTTTACATATTTCTAAATTAGAAACCTCACTGCTTCATGGCAGTTGGTTTGCTATTGCTTCCAATATTGTTAGGATGCCATTTTGTACTACAGATTTTTCTATGATCATTTTTAGATAGGCAATGATATCGTTCTTAAGTGATTTAGGCCACAGGGTTGGGTATGATGTTATGCAGTTGTGCATCCACAAAATGAAGTATTAAATGTCGTTTCAGAGAACTTCTCAACTTTGTGGCATTTATATAAAATACAAGATCATACTGTATAACCGGACTGTGTAAGGGGATTTTGTGTTAATCTCTGCACTGACAGTCCCTTAGCATCCAGATGGTGCAGGATTAGTATGTTCCTGCATGCACATGTACTAAGTCCCACTCCCTGTCTGTAACATACTGCCAAATCCAAAGGGTGCGGAGTTAAGAGTTTTTCTAAGGAAATATATTAGAATAAAAGACAAGTAAACTTACATAATCGTGAGACTTCAAGAGGGCAGTAATGTAGCAGCATTTTTTCTTAAATAATTAAAGAGTATTTTTGACCATCAGGATATTTTCTGTTTGTATTTTATAGGACTTGGATGTGAAGGCCGGTGGAGGCTGCGTCATGACCATTGGGGAGATGCTTCGTTCCTTCCTCACTAAGCTTGAATGGTTTTCCACATTGTTTCCAAGAATTCCTGTGCCAGTCCAGAAGACTATTGATCAGCAAATTAAAAGCAGACCCAGAAAAATTAAAAAAGATGGCAAGGAGGGAATGGAAGAAATAGACCGGCATACAGAACGTAGACGTTCAAGGTTGTATATATGTCACTTTGTAAATAAAGGTTGAAAGTTCATTGTTGAGTGACTTGCTATGAAGAACTAAGTAATCTTTTAGTAAGATGGCTTTTAGGGCAATTAGTTTATGGAAGTTCGTGGATAAAATCTGACAGTACTGCTCTCTTGCAGGCTACCTGTATTTAAGATGAAATACACGCTGTGTATGTAAAGCTAAATCTATTGTAGAGTAGATAGGTTCCCTTTACTTGGTAAACTGTTGTTTCATATTGAATACCCTTTATTTTAAAAGGTCTCCAAGACGATCCATCAGTCCCAGGAGGTCTCCCAGAAGATCCAGAAGCAGAAGTCATCATCGCGAAGCCCATGGGTCATCTAGTTTTGATAGAGAACTTGAAAGAGAAAGAGAACGTCAGCGACTGGAACGTGAAGCTAAAGAGAGAGAAAAAGAGAGGCGTAGGTCTCGAAGTACTGATCGTGCACTAGAAAGGAGACGAAGCAGAAGCAGGGAACGATATAGAAGCCGTAGTCGAAGTCGTGACAGGAAAGGAGACAGAAGAGATAGGGATAGGGAGCGAGAGAAAGAGAATGAACGCAGCCGGAAAAAAGAGAGAGATTATGATAAGGATAGAGGTAGTGAGAGAGAAAAAGATAGTGATCGGTCTAGAGAAAGATCGAAAGAAAGGAAAAGTAAGGGTGACACAGAAGAGAGAAGACACAAGGATGACAAAGATGACAAGAAACACCGGGATGATAAGAGGGATTCCAAAAAAGAGAGAAAGCATAGCAGAAGTCGAAGCCGGGAAAGAAAGCATAGGAGTAGAAGCCGAAGTAAGAATACGGGCAAGCGCAGCAGAAGCAGGAGCAAAGAGAAATCAAGTAAGCATAAAGGTGAAAGCAAAGAGAAATCAAATAAACGAAGTAGAAGCAGAAGCAGGGGAAGAACAGATAGTGTTGAGAAGTCAAAAAAACGAGATCACAGTCCCAGTAAAGAAAGATCTAGAAAGCGTAGTAGAAGCAAAGAACGTTCCCACAAACATGATCACAGTGATAGCAAGGACCATTCGGACAAACACGATCGTCGAAGGAGCCAAAGTACAGAGCGAGAGAGCCAGGAAAAGCAACAGAAAAACAAAGATGAGACTGTGTGAACTCTTTAAGAAGTGGATCACATTGAATCCTATAAATGTTTGATTAAATCCTGCTTATTTTTTCTTAAAGTTGAAATTGTGCAGTAGTTGATGAGCATTCTTCTCCAACCTCCCTCTAGGCTGCAGATTGTCATTTCCTATTCTGGGTAGGGAAGTGCCTTTGTAAACCCATTCAATACATTGACGGTTTCAAAACCATTTGTTTAGTTTAATTTGTAATCCAGAGATTGTTGCATTTTTATTGTTCAGATGTTTCTGAAATGTACAGTCTGTACATATGTCCTGAAAATGTTTTAATTCCTTTGGCGTGGTTGCCATGTTGGTTAAATTTGTATGAGGCAATAAACTGCCACTAATTCTACTTTCGTTTTGTAGATGTGGAATTATGGTTTGTATTATCCTGAAGTTAGCGTGGCTGTGCTTCACATAATAGCATGGCTTTTTAGGGATGGACCTTGAGTGTGTATAATAGCTGAGATATTTATGTGCATACGATGTACATGGAGGGCTGCAGATTTAGAGTAACACTTATGTCCACTATACCTGCTGTTTTCAAAAACTTCTAAAATGTTTTTTGTTGATTACCACTGGTGTCAAGTTGGGAGTGGAATTCTGAGGAGACAGTAGTTTAGATGCAAATTTTTAGTTTGTAATGGGCTTTTTTAGGACAGGATTCTTTAGAAAGGCTACCTCAGGCAAACACTGTAAATGGGTGAGTACTGTAGCCATCTATGCATTTTGTCTGGGAGAAAAAAATACGTAAGGTTCTGATTTTGTTAAACACCATTTATCAATTTATGGTAATTTAATGTTGTTAATCGGCAGCTGCACTCTAAGTTATGATAATCCTGAGCTAATGAAGGCATTTCACATGGGAAGAGGGAGGTAGGAAGAAGAAAATCATTTCAAAAGATTTCAGTTTCAAGCTTCCAAAGCATTTTTATAAGTGTAAACATTTAAAATAACAATTACCTGATAGTGTCCTTTTTTTAAGTCATATTTTCTACAGATAGTAAGATTGCAGTTTGTGCTGAACATTTCATCTGGCAGATTTTTCTTTTTAAACAGGTTGTTAGGAGCAAAAACCAAAATGCGTTATAGGAAAAAAAATCGTGTCATTAAAGTCCAGGTCTATTTGATAGATTATTCTGACTTGTATTCTAAGTGAGAAGAACCGTCTGGAATAAACTCTCAATTAATTCCTTTGTATTGGGTCTCAGCTTTTCCCTGCATGTTTATTGCCACTTGAAGAGTGTTTGCGTTCCGTGATCTTTCTTTTGAAGACAAAGCGACACTTTTACATAAAAACCCCAGTCTGATCATACTGTGTAATATTTCATGTGAGTTGTGCAGAAAAACAGGTCTGTGTCAGCTGGAAAAGTAACCGCAATGGAGTATGAGGAAATGTTATGCCTTTTCCAAAAACCAAGAAGTCAATGCTAGTAATAACTGTCAGCTCAGCAGCAAAGCAAAAAAAAAAAAAAAAAAGGATGTTGAGTTCATAAATTAGCTCTCCAGGTTATCAAGGATACATGCACTTTTATCAAATAGGCATAACATAGAAGTCTCAAACTAGTTTTGAGTGCACCTGAACTGCTCTTTGTTAAATTTAATTTTTTATTTCAGCCTTTACTGTTCTGGTATCCATTAGGTCTGGAACACTGTTACTGATCAGTGAATGTTCTGAACAGTTTTCAGAACTGATTGCTTTACACTGAAAATTACAGTTAGAGATTACCAGGATCTCTTAAGTTAAGTGTATTTTATAAGCGATCTCATCATCAGTTGAGGCTGAAATTCAGTGTCCTAGATTAAATCTCCAGCTTCCCTCTTCCCAATCTTCAAGTATCTGTGACTTGCAATTAGCTGTAGATATCTTTCCAGCTTCAGGGAAAGGATATTTAGGGAGAATGATGTTAACAGTGTCAGTAACATCCAGGATAGCTGAAGTGAAGGAAAGTGGTGAAGAGGAAATGATCAACTGGGGGGGGGGGGGGGGGAAGGGAGGAAGAAAAAAAGGCCAGCAGTGACTTCTTGCCATCCTTCTGAGACAAGGACAGTGAACTGCCCAGAAAGCTAGTACTTTGAGGAAGGGAGGAGTAATCTTAGATAAGAAAATAAATGAGCAATGGAGAGTATCTTGATCTGTTTGCTTCGCTTCTGGCAGTAAGTAATAAAATTTTATAAATACTCAAGGGAGTGAAAGATGGGATACTGAATGAGGGAATCAATCAGTGTTGATCAAAGGAGTAGACAACATGAGGTAAACGTGGTGGACTTCAACAGATCAGTTATTTGGTAGAATTGATTAAGCTTATTGCTCTAATTCCAACAATTTTAGCAGAAGGAAAAGTCTGATTAGTACATTGCAATTCTGACCTGATAACTTACCTCCTCATCTGAGCCAGAATTTCCATCTAGACGTGTTCTGCACTGCTCTTCCCTCTGTATATCACTGTAACAATTCAGAAATTCACATAACCAGTTATGGAAAAGCAACTATCTAGTGAAGTGCATTCAGTGTTGTTTCAAGCCTTTTATACAGAGAAATGAAGAACAAGACTATCCTGTTGAATCCCTTGTGAAATAAGGTAGAATGGATTCAGGTAAGTCACATTTAGAGTAGCGACCTTGTTTAATTTATAACTGAATATGGCTGGGCTATAAAAGATAAGCCTGCCTTTTATTACGTATTATTAGATAAACAGTGAAAGTCATGCGACAGTGTAGAAGGCATGATGGTACACAGGCAACAATGCAGGTAACGGTGGTTTTTAATTATGCTTTGTAAGATGACGTGTGAGATGAACCTGCATGACTCTAAGCTTTGACTGTCAAATATGTACTATTTGCAACTTGCTTCTGTGAACACTATCAATGGAATGAATGTACTGTGTTCTTACCCATTCCAACAGAGCTTCCAGAACAGGTTACTGAAATGACATGAAATGGTAGTACAAAAGTTAAGTTTTAGATTGTAGGCTGTTGAATGTAGTCCATGTTAAACAACTGTGCAATTGCATCACAATACAGTTTGATAGCAGATGAAATTTATGCCCTCAGAAAGGAATCACAAAGAAATTACTACTACTTCAAAACGTTCAGTGCCCACTTGGGATTCGTTTCTAGAAGTTCTTGATCTTTTCTAATTAACTTCTGATTACAAAACCTCATTTATTTGCCCATGTATTATAACCCCTGCTCTCCCAACTGAAAATTAACTTCTCTGTATTCACTAGAATCACCAGTTAGGTGTTAGTGATCCTTATGCAAGATCTGTGCTAAGAAAAAGCAACTTTTCTGTGCTTAATCTTGAAGTGTTTCTGAAGCCCATCACACATACTGCAGAATAGCATCCACAAAATTATTCTGGAGTGAGCACAATAGAAAAGTTCTGCTGCATGCTGCCTTTACTCAAATAACTTGATTACATTTTAACTATCTAGTGTGCATGAGGGAAAAAAAATAGCGTTCAAAAAATTTTAAAGATTTACCTGAATATATTTTTTTAGGACAAAAGGTGAGCTTCAGCCTCTTATCCATAGCTGGAGATACTACTGCTGTGTAGACATCACCACAAGGTATCTCAGTAATATCACAGTAACTTAGACCTGAGCGAGGTGAACAAGTGAAATTGCCTTTTGAGCCACGTAAATCAGTAGTGTAGCTTATTGTTTCTTCAGAAGCTCGCCAGTACACCCGGATACCATTATTGCCAAGTCTATATAGCTTCACTCCAGAAGGACAGCAAGCACCTAGCAGAATAAGAAACACATCAGTACAGATGTCTGTAAAGTACAGTATGTTCTAAATTCCTGTAGTGCCTTTTCACAGACGACATGATTACCAACATGTTAAATAGCAGCATTTCCTTGAGAAAGTTTCTTAACAGAAAACCAGAATAATCACTGAACCGTGCTAGGAAAGAAAACGCTCTCTCAGACTCAAATTATGAAGCTGGAATTTAACTACTGTTTTGTAGTACTGGAATACTGTTCTTTTTACTTATTATGGAGGCAGTAACCTAGAAAACCTTTTGTGGATTCTAGAATTTAATTATGCTATAGCATAATTTGTTTCAAGAGTATTATTATTAAAGCTTCTTTCAAAGTTGTAAGAACAGGGTTTAAATAATATGTGAAATTAATTCTATGCGCTTTTATTTAAAAGAGGGTACTTGCAACTTTATTGAGTTTCAGTTGCATTACTTGCATTAGAGGAACGCTATTCAATTAAGCTGTATATTAAGTCATTTTCTCCTTAATTGCATTTATTGTTTACATACTGGAAGAATATCCTTGATATGTGCAATGGGATGTCAAACCAGTTTCACTGATGGCTTTCAGTGATACCGTGTAGTTGGTGCCACATGTGATGCATCCCAGGAGACAGTAGTTCTGAAGAGTGTGACATCTTGCCTGTCCCTTTGGAGACTCCAGTGTCGTTGCATATGTGTGTGCACCCATTCCAGCAGACCAGGTGACGTTTGTTACCGACTGTGTCACTTGAGTTAGTGTCAGGTTGTTAGGGCAACAAGGAGCTTAAAAGTAAAATAAAAGTAGAGAGTTCACTTTTTTCACTTGGAAAACAAAGCACTTTGAAGGATTGCAACTAGAGCAGTGCATTGAGAGCAATGATAACTAGCATACTTTTCAGGCAAACCTTAGCATGGGGAAGATGACTCTGGCTCCATGTCTAGGATCTGATTAAGCAGGGTCCATCTCTACCTGTTAAGTCATGTGACAGTCGAGGTCTGCCTGTGTTCAAAGGTTTTTTCCTCTACAAATCAAAGTAACTGTTAAAAACTGAACTGCCTGTTTAAAATTGATCCTAAAATTGATCCCATCCTAAAATTGGCCTACATTAACCCCAGAACTGTGCTTTGGAATTGTCTGGGTGAAAAATATAGGATAAAGTTCTGCTAACAAGTTAATAGCAGGAATTACGGTAGGAAGTGCTTTAATCTTCTCTTTAGACTGTTTAGTTTGGTGATATGGGCATAACCTCATTGCTTCGCCTGGTAATATTAGGAGTCAAAACACTGACAAGGGAGTTAATATATTTGTTAGCTGTGATGTATCATAAATGATTGCACTATGGCTGCTTACACTGAAGCAAATGCCAGGGAGGTTGTGGATGCCCCGTCCTTGGACGTGTTCAAGGCCAGGTTGGACGGGGTCCTGGGCAACCTGATCTAAATGTGTGTGTTAGGTGGCCCTGCTAGGCAGGGGGGTTGGAACTACATGATCCTTGAGGTCCCTTCCAACCCGGGTGATTCTGTGATTCTGTGTGATTCTGTGAAATGCCAAGTGATCCTCTCTCTCTCTCTCTCTCTCTCTCTCTCTCTCACACACACACACACACACACACACACACGTATTTTAAGCAGAGCACAGGAAGAGAAACTATAATTTGCACAAATGGTAATTTTTATATACATATACGCGTTTATAAACACATATAGAAATATTATAGTGCCATGATACTAAGTATTTCACATCAAACAATTCCCACATACCGGTCTCTAAAGGGACACTGTAGCTTGGCAAGCTCTGTCCAGCTGACGATCTTGCTATGACACTGACAGAGAAAGCAGATCCACAGGGAAGATTAATTAGGGTACAAGAGTTTCCAGAGCTTGTACAATGCCAAAGGCCAGCCTCTCCTCGGGCAGTTACGATATATGTAGCTTCCTCGTTGTTAGATTGCCAGTGCACACTGATCACAGAAAGAGCCTCCTTTGAGATATTTTTAATTTCAGGACTGCAGGGAGCTGAAAGTTGTTTAACAGATTGTTTATACATACCATAACAGTTACACAAAAATTAACTTCCATTTGAAACTAATGACCTCTTTTGGAAAAGTGTAATCCTGACATTGTTATGCTTAGTGTGAATTTAGAACTCATGACAGAAATGATAACATAGATTTTTGCATACAATAACAGCAATGAATTGTAAGTGATTTTCAGAAGCTTGGAGCACTCGGTAACTTTCAGTCCAAATCTTTTTTTTAGGTCCCCCATCACCGAACGTTTTTAAATACTTCCAGCAGCCTCCTGTTTTCACTTATGTCTGTTACAGTAACTTAGACCTCTGCTAATGCTTTTCATGCATTAATCACTGCAGTCTACCTAATTATTTCCTCTGCTAAAGGAAGGTAGGAATGCACATACCTGTTGCCACATACTTAGATGCACACGATGTGTTGCTGCCCCTGGCCTCGCTGAAGGAGTAAACGGTGACGTTGTAGCGGGTGTTGCAGCGCAGAGCAGACAGGGTGCAGGCGGTGGCCGTGTCGTTGCACAGCACCGTCCCCCTCCCGGAGGCAGCCTTGGTCTCGTACATTTCAGCACCGCGGACGGGAGCCCAGCTCACCTCCACCGTGTCGCTCGACACCGGCACTGCGCGGAAGTTACTGGGGCAGCACGGTGCTGAAAGGCAAGGCACAGATGGAGGTTCAGCCCGAGCAGAAAACTGTCATTTGCCTCTGTGCTTCATAGCTTAAATCGCCAAAGGTGTCTTATATTGCGCCAACTGAGCGTCGTTAATCCCAGACTTACTGCCCGAGTACTTCCACACCCTTTTTTTTAACAAAGGGCCTCCTAATGGATATGTAATCATTGTATTTATGTGTACTTACACATAGAATTATGAATATCCTTGATCTAAAACTGCAAAACAACTGGAGATTAACTAAGTAATTCTTAAGGACGTTCTTCACAATTTCCCACTGAACTGATTATTTTACCCCCACACTAAGGAAAAATTGAAGTTTAAGTCATTATCCTGAAAAAATGAAAATGTACATTCAGCTCTATCATAAATACAGGTAGCAGATCCAAAAGGAACTTGCAAGAATACTTTACTACTTACCAGTTGTGTAATTGAATACATCACCTAAAGGACTCTGCCCTGCACTGTTATATGCAAAGACACTAACGAAATAAGTGAAACCACAGTCTGACTGGAAATGGCACTGTGTGTGGGATGTGTTGCAATATACTTCCAAGCCATCGTCGCTCTTCACAAAAACCACATAATAATGTCCAAAATTTACTCTAGACCATGATACCAATAAGTTTCCATGTTCATCATCTTTAATTGATATATTTCCTGGTGCACAAGGAACTGAAAAAAAAAATTAGAAAAAATAATTGTCATTGGAATATTTGTATTCAAGTTATGCTGTAGAGGAAAAAAAAAAAAAGGAAATTCTGATATGTGTGGAATTATTCTACACGGTTTGAATATTTAGAATTGTCTTGCTCAAGAAAACAGGAACTCAAATGGCTTTACAGATGATGTTACTTACATTTAGATTAGAAGTGACTGTGATTTTTACAGAACAAAACATGCTACCTTCATCACTTACATAAGAGAGATCTGCTGAAGGAGATCCCATAATCAAAAGCAGAGGCACCAGACAGTATTGCAGAAGAAATTGGCACATTCTGTTCTCACAGATAAATAGTTCTGGATGATTATCAGAATACTAGTTTTAATAGCATTTGTCATCTAAAAAACTTTTGTGAAAACCTTTGATATGGTGGTACAAAACTCACTGTGTCTGATTAAAAAAAGTAATTTGTTTCAGTTTCCTTTCTGGTGGCATCCTAAAATTTTGCAATAGGCTGAAAACTCCATAGGTTTTGCTCAAATAACATCTTTCCTTTCTTTCTGGTTCAAAGAGTTCAGCTTGCTGCTAATTAGATTATACATAGTCAAACAGAAGTAATATGGGCTGAGAAGAATACAGACCACAGCTTAAACTTTCTCTTACCAAAGGCTTTCATTCCATTAGAACTATTCCCAAGTTCCTCTCGAGTGATCTCTAACTCATGAGAGGTCAAAATGAGGTAGGTAACATTACATAAACCAGTAATTAAGTTGTGTCTGTAAGGTAGCATGTAGCTTCCATGGTTTAGGTTTTGCTTACATGGGCCATACATCTAACAGACCAGAAAGCATTAATCTCTGGCATGGTAGTGGTGCTAAGTAGCAGAGATTAGCAGCTTTTGTGCTGACCAAGCTGCTACCTGAAATGGTCTATGACCACATCTTAATTAAGTCCAGTGGTACCATTTTAGTTGCAAGTGTTTATTTGTTAATCTGCATTCTAAGTTACAACTACATCTAGCCTGAACAGTTCTCAGTCTATGGCCAGTCCTCAGTGCTATTTCCTCACAGATTTCTCCTGGTCTATTTGTGACAGATCTACCATAGTAGGATATAGCTGCTATTCCTTAGATTAGTTTTACACTCAGAAAATTGACTTTAGAATATGTACTATGGGTAAGAGGAAAAGGCAGACTTTTTGTTTCAGCTAACAATATATATACACCACTGCCAGTTTCTCACAGAAATACTGAGAAAATTTAGGCTATTATCCCCTAAGCACAAACATACATAGCATAGTTCATGCACACAGTTCAGAAGCAAAAACAATTTTGAGAACCAAGAATGTTAATGGCCTAGCATTTGAAATTAAATAAATGTATGCCCAAATGCCATAAGCTATGTAATAATCGATTGTTCACATACTAGTTTTTAAGCTCACTGCATCAGTAGGATTACTGGATCCAGCATCATTATGTGCTGTGACAGAAACAGAATACTCAGACCCGCACTGGAGCGATGGTACTGTGCAGGAGGAAGAAGATGTGTTACACTTCAGTTTCAACAGTCCACTGGAGGCAGTCACACTGTAAGTCAGAGCTCCTTCTGCTGGCATCCAAGAAACAATAGCTCTTAAAGCTCCGCTACTGAACGCTACTTGAACATCTGCTGGTGCCTTAGGACCTACGGTATATCAGTTTGGAACATACTTGTAAATACAGCTTTGCACATGGCCTACAGACATCATCGTTCTCAGAACATGCAAATGAAGAATTTTCAACCCTCATTGATTTAAAAGCTAAATAAATAAATTACTTTAGTTGTACTCTGACAACGAGCATTCTTTTAAAATTCCTTGCCTTATTTGAATATTTGTTGTTTAAATAAGTAAGAAAAATAAGTAAGAAAAATCCTCAAATTAGTCTAAGCATGTGTAATCTTTACCCAAGCCTGTAAAACTTTGCTAGTAGTTAATGGTATCTTTACCTCAGTAACATTCATTAAACATAGACACACCATCTGAGTTTCCATAGAATAAAACTTACATGATGAGAAAACCTATCCAGTGTACCTTAGAAAAGCATAATGTAATCCTATGTACGTAAATACTTCTTGGTACAGCTTCTTATAAAATGCTTACAAAGTTTCAGAAAATAACATTTCTTACTTGTTCTTTGGTTATATGTGAAATCATCTCCAGGAAGGCCGTTGGCATTCCAGGCATAAGCTTTTATAGTATAGAGAGTTCCTGGATCTAAGTTTGAAAATACGAAGGAGGTATTGGTGGTGTTCTGCTTCAGCATTCTGCCCAAACCGTCTGATCTCATCAGGGACACAGAGAACCCAACTGCCATATACACAGCTTTCCAGCTCACTGCAATGGAATCACAGCTCGGGGAACTTGCAGACAGAACTGGAGCAGACAAGACTGTTGAGAAAGAATATCACTTAGGCTTTAAGTTTCTCAGTCATACTGTTTGGTGGGTTCAAATACCAGAAAAATACCCAGAATTAAAAAATCACCACCTTAAAAAAAGACAAAAAAAAAGAAATTAAAAAAAAAAAACAAAAACCCAGCAACCCCAGGAAAACAAATTAATGCAAGAGTGGCAGAATAGATTAGGAAATTGATTTGGTACTTCTATTATATGACAGGTTTTGTAAAATGAATGCAATTCATGCAACTTATAAACAAATTACAAAAGGTTGAGTGTGTAGAAGAATGCAAATCACTAAGACACTGTATTTCCCGTCATCTAAGTTTTACATCATCTTATTGTTTTGTGCTTTTGGTTGTATTTTCTTCATTTATTCCATTCTGTCAAGTTGTGTTCTCTTGTTAAAATAAAATCCAGACATTCACAGAAACTCTATTAAAACTTCTCTATTAAGCATTAACTTTCAGTACAGTCACAAAGCAAAACCACTAATTCAGATTCATGTCCTTGTCATTAAGTCAAATGGTAGAATTCCAGTCCTCAAAAACTGCAAGGAGAACGTGCTCAATGCAATCTAAAATGCAAGACTGTAATTATTGGTACTGCTATGCTTCTTAACTACACTGCTACGCTGCTCATTTTCAGCTCCAAAAGTTTTTTTAAATTATTATATATATATATTTCTAAGTTAAGCTACTTGCATAAATTCTTTAGATTACAATAATGCAGAACAGAAATAAAAATAAAATCCACCTGTTGTTGTTTTTCTGGAAGGTGAAGGGCGGCTCTTTCCTCCTGCATTTACAGACCTGATGGTGATTCTGTAGCAGGTGGCTGGTTCCAATCCCATCACTGTACCTGGTGATTTTGTGACTACAGTTTCAATGCAGGAATCTCCATCCTGTGCAGCCAGTAGATAACTAGTAGCTCCAGGTACTGCTCTCCATTCTACTGTGATACTATTGCTAAGTTTTGAGTAAGCTTGATCAATAACAGGAACGTCTGGAGCTAAAACATGAATAACAACAAAAGATGCGCTAAAAAAAAAAAGAATTAAAACGTATTTGGGATGTCAGTATGTGCCTCGAGGCAAATGTATTTATAGGGAGGAAGCTCTCTTAGACCCAAGCATTTTCTCATTTGTTCACACTTGACACCTTCTTTTGTCCCCTTTTAAAAATGGCAACATATATTCTATAAGACCATGCCTCCAGAACATTTGCACTTGTGTCTTTCTGCGTATTTGAGCAATTGCTATCTATTGCATTTTTTCTCCTTTTAATGTAGTCGTTAGTAGCAATTCATAACAAAAGAGAACAAATAGCATCATTGGTATCAGAAATAAATTAGAAAACATGGATCATTAATGCCTGTTCTCAGATAACTGATCTAGCAGTAGAAGGCTTTTATACCTATTGGGAATAAAAACTGCTACTTTTAATTGTTATTGCACTGATTCCTTATATTAAAAAACAAACAAACAAAAATCAAACAAACAAAAACACTGCAAAGGTAATGACTATTTCTAAAAATTATTACACAGAATCACAGAGTGTCAGGGATTGGAAGAAATCTCAAAAGTTCATCTAGTCCAATCCCCCTACTGGAGCAGAAACATGTCAGGTCACACAGGAACACCATCAGGTGGGTTCTGAACTTCTCCACAGTCTCTCTGGGCAGCCTGTTCCAGTGTTCAATTATGATTAAAAATATTTTCAAACAGAATTTCAACAAAATATTTTCTCAATTGCCCTTCAGCATGAGTTAAAAAGTACTTTGTTTATGTAGATTCTTCATCAGTGCTAGCATATGCTAGCAGTCCTTTGAAACAAAAATACTATTTATCAGCACCAGTGTATACAGCTTCACATCTGCGCTTGTAATGAAAGGGCAAATAATTTGGAAAGCTGGAGACTGAGCAAGCTGTGCATGGTAGCTCAGGGAATCATATAAGAAAAAAGAAGAGGAGAAAATGAGCTAATCATGCTGCTACCAAATTCAGTGTGAGTGTCAGCAAAAGGTTTCAACAGGAATGGCAGCTATTCCCTACAAATACAACAAACATCAGGGATTCCAACCCTTTAGAGGTCAATTGAAATTACTCTTCAAGAAGGTTCTCTTACTAACCTGTTGATTGCACAGTCTGTGTTTCTGCCAGAGTAATTCCATTCGTGTCAATGGCTTCTGCTTGTATAGCATAGACAGTATTGGGAATTAATGAAGTTAGAGTGCTCTTAAGTGTCCCATCACTAAAATAAGCCAGTAAAGAATGGCCTACACTATTCACAGCTGTAGCTGTGACTCTGTAAGAAGAGGCTCCTGAAAACTTGGACCATCTGAGATAAATGCTTCTTGAGGTCACGTCATATATAGACATAGAGAAACCTAAAAAACCAAAACAAGACAAAAAAAAAAACAAAGCAACACAGAGAAAAAAAGCCACACACGAACACAGATGAAAACAAACCATAATCAGAAAAACATTTCAGTCATTCTTGAATGTAGGGAAGTCTTGACAAGACGACTGTTCAGACCCTAAGCAAGCACATAGGTGAACTGATTTTTAGCAGATCGACATTCCACTGATTCTGCAGTGCTATTTTCCTTGTTCACTTCTGTAATCTCTTAATTACTGCAATAACTACCACTTGCTCTCATAATATCACTTGTGATATTATCACCATTTCATTATGTGATAATATCACCATTTTACTGGAAACCCTTAAACACTTCAGTCTACTTATTTTCTAAACATACTGGATATAATTCACATATAGATATACAACCTTTTGAAAAGCACTCTACATGAATAGGATCAAAAGTGCGTTCTGCAGCTTGTGGAAAGAATGTGCTGCAGTAAGCACCTAGGTACTAAAACAGCATGGCTATGGTTAAACGTTTAAGACTTTTACATGTCAGTGTATTCAGGAATATCCTGCTTATAGACTGAGCACATTTTGAAAGCACTCCTTGCAGTCTTGTATTCCTCATATTACACACACAAGGCAACAGGAGCTCTTGGCACAAAAAGTGAGACTGAAGGAAGTCTAAAATGCACAGAACACTAAAAGATATTTAGTGCTCAGGAGATTTTGATTGTTATTTATTTGTTTGTGGCATGAGCGAATCCACCTGTGAGTGTTAGATAGAATTGAGACTCCTAAAAGTAAGGTTTACAGTTTATAAAGGTATCAACAATATCATCACAAATTTTTAAAAACTCAGTCAATCCTGGAAAGTTTTTTTTTTTTTTTTCCCCCTAAAACACCGAGAACTTACACAGTTTATTAGAAATCAGAATTGCGTATGTTCTCTTTGGACCCAATCAGAAATGAGCAGCCAAAACCAAAACACCATTTTGAAGATGTACCTGTGTTAGCTGAAAAGACCTGAAAAGGAAGATATAAAAAGTTAGAAATACGAAGCAAAATATTCTATTTGGGAAACTAAAAAACTCCTAATGGTGCTGGTAATAACAATATCAACTTAGAAGATTACACGTTTTAACACATTTCACTGATGTGATGTGTCTGTTCAGACTCATTAAGCACAGACACTGCAACCAGTGAGGCAGATCGGCAGATTACATTCCTCGTTCTCCTCTATGGATCTGCCTGTTGACAGGCAGGCTCTGAAAGATCCTATCTCTTCAAAGCCTTGCCAGTCACCTGTAAACGCTCGCTACACTTGGAAAGAAGACCAGTCGCACTCACCACTTGCAGGCTGTGGAGATGCAATCCGACGAGCAGCAGCGATGCTCGCTCCGAACCGCGCATCTCCGCGCAGCGGCGGCAGCCCGGTCCTACACGGACTTCAACTTGTAGGTCAGCAAGTTTTTGTTTTGTTTTGTTACAGTTCCTGTATCGAATACACAAAACTAATACAATAATCACGCCCAATTCAGATCTGAAACTTGCTGTTTAGTTTACGGTGGCTCTTTCCGTCTGCTCACGGGCACGTTCCTTTCAGTCTGTGATTTCTTTTAAACGGAAAGACGCTCCCCGCAGCGGCCCGCAGCTCTCCTCCTCAGCTTCTGTGCCGTTTGAGGAGGCACGGAGTTGTCCACCAGGCCGTGCCCTCTAACAGAAGAGGGATTTCGCGATGAACCGACGGCTGGCTGCACCGTGCATGGAGGCAATTTCGCTCCCCAAGGAGCCGGGCTCCTCACCTACCCTGCCAGCATCCTGCTAGAGAGAAACTTTCCTCAAGGAGGGCGCGCCGATCGTCGCCGTCCCACCCCTCGCCACCTGGAGGGCGGAGCGGCTTCTGAGGGGCGGGCCGGCACCGCCTCTGAAGAGGGCGCGGTTTGGAGCCGCCTGGTGGTTCTGAGAGCAAGATGGCGCCGGCGGTGCGGGGGCTGAAGAGTTTGGTGTGGCAGAGTGAGTTAGCGAGGGTCTCGCCTCGCTGTTCTTTCGCGCCCGCCCGGGGTCGGCATGTCGGCGGTCTCGCTGTTCTGACGGAGCTGAGGGCGGGGGGAGCCAAGCCGAGCGGAAGCGGGGCGGCAGCGGGAGAGCGCTGCCGGGTCAGGGTGCCTCTGTGCGGAGCCCGGCAGGGCCGCCGTGCTGCTCGTCCTCCGCCGCCTCCTCCGGGGCGGCTCGGGCGGGAAGGGCTCCGACACTGCCGAGGTGAGGCGGACCCGGCCGGGTTCCGCCACCTTGGTCAGGGGGGGCGGAAGTCACCTTCCCACGCGCTTCTCTTCCTTCGGAGCCGGGGGCTCCGCGCGGGGCTCGCGAGCGGCTCTTTGGTTCCTGGCGGAGCTGCAGGATCTCCGGCTGCGTGTCAGGAGGCGGCCGTGCCTTCCTGTCCCGGCAGCGGGCGGCAGGTGCGAGAGCCCTCTCTGTGCCGTGCGATGGTGCTGTTAGCAGCTGTTGTGCCGAGATCACGCGGATTTCTATGAGGGGTAGTTCTAGACTGAATCTGAGCAGAGAAAATAAGTGGAAAAAGGTTGTTTCATCGAAGTTTATCGTCAGTTATGCTGTCCACACGTATTTGAGGGGAGAGTAATTAAAAAAAAAGGGAACAAAGAGAAGAAAAAGCGACTTGTGGGCTTTTAAAAAAAGCATCGATATTTCTTATGACTCAGTATTTCTGCAACTTTTTTTCCCCAGAAGAGTTGCTTATGGGAGAGTTGCAGTCCAGGTGCTTCCTTAGGGCGGTATGGTCTGCTTTTCTTATTTTGTGTCATTTGTTATGTTTTGGGCCTTTTTTTACCACCAGGGTATAGCAGTCTGTTATTCTGTCCAATTGTATCTACTTATTTTTCTTTCTGTCTCTCTTATGTAGAGGGAAAATGCCTTAACTGAATTGAATGGGATAGGTGGTTGGTGTGGAGAATGAGGGAAATGACCCCACAGAGAGGAATGGAGCAGTGCTTATGATTGCTTGTTAGAAACAAATGAGGTGATTTTGAGAGCCTGTAAGCCAGAGTGAATTCTTCAGATAAGTAGCTGCAGGTGGGGACAAAACAAATGGCAGTTTGAATGCTGCAGGGGCAAGTGTGCTGTGTCTGCTACGCTGGTAGCTTGGAATGATTGCTTTTTCATGACGGGATGAAGCTGTGGGCAACTGAACTGTTCATTTGTTAGGGTTGTTTCTCTAGGCAAGTAAGTGAAAGTACTGTATGGGAAAATACCTGACGTTTCAGGTTATGTTCTCAGGCTCTCCATTTACTGAAGAAGATGTCTGTGTAATGCTAAATGCTGGATTACTGGTGAGAGAGTTCTCAGAAAACATAATGAACTTTCACAAAGTTTAAAAAAAAAAAAAAAATAATCCAGATGAGCTCATACACCTTGTGTAGAGACCTGGAAAGAAATGTAAGGAACACAGAGTGTATGAACATGAAGGGGGAAGAAGGGCCTGTATTACACTCTGGGCTTGGGTATGGGTTTTGGTGTATTAGGTTTGGTGTCATGCCAGAGAGCTTTTAACATAAGCAAAGATATTAATGTTTACAAACATTGAAAAAACAGATGTGCTTTTTGTTGCATGTACACCTGCTATTCTGGACCCTTTGACAGTTCTTTCACTTGGCAGGAGGCACAAAATGCATGCTGAAACTGCAAGCTTGTGTATTAGACCTCTGTTAGTACTAGCTCTATATTTGAGTGTGACAGAATGGCTGCTGTTAGACCCAGACAGCAACAGCATCTGAAATTCCTTCTCTGGGGAAGAACAAACAAGAGTAACTGGACTTTGTTACTTTTTTGTTGATAAAAGGATAGGCTCATCAGTTCCCCCAGTTTTCTGACTTCTTCTTAATTTATATATATTACTGATATGATCAAATTTTTGATAAACTGATGTCCCTGCTGTAGAAAGGTGCAACTTGTGGTTCTGGCTATCTCTTAGAGCCAGGGTCTAGTTGTGCCTTACAGCTATTATTGCTACATGTTTTTTAGTCAAAATTTCTTTCAAAGCTCTGATAGCAAGGAAAAATAACAGCTGCCTGTTATAAGGTAACTTTTATTTTGTGAATGGCCTGGGGATTCCTTAGGTTTCTGCTGGAATTCTAGAGAGAGAATGAGCATGTTTGAAACTTGCGTGTGCTGGAAAATAGGTCTGCCTGTTGGTATGTTGGTCTAATGGCTGTTTCTGGAGGACTAACTTAAATTTTTGCATGTGTGCCATCTGTTTAGTGGCACAGTTTACTTGAAGGCAAAGAAACAGAATCCCAGCACAAAGTGAAATATTTACAGGCCTGTGATTGTTTAGAATGATGTCAGCAGAAATAAAAAAAAATTCTTTTTTGGAACAACTTGATATCTCCGATTGTTAACTTGTTTATCTCTCTTCTTTTCTATAGAGCTGAAATCTGCAATATTTGATGACTGTAGGAAAGAGGATGAATGGAAGGTATAGTTGTGTATAAATTTCATTTGATGGATGACTTTATTTTTTGCTTAAAATCTTGCTTGCTTTCCAAACAATAAGAGTATCAGCTCAGGTATTCATTTCTCTAGAACTTCAATTTTGGTGGTATCCAGGAGCAAATGACACTGCTCTGTGATATATGAGCAACAGGATTCAAAAGTGCAAGACAAGCAAGGCCTGAGACTGATGCTACTAACATGTGTGCTGCTTTCAGTGATGCTTGAGCAGTAGTAAAAGTAATAGGAAAGTACAGATAAAATGTCTGCAGGAAGATCATTTGATCCAAGTGTTCATTTTTTTTTTCCTCATTTGCACATTGTTCCTTTATGTCCCACGTTGAGTTTGCTGTCGGTTATCTTGTTTTTCTTACTTACCTTTCAGTGGATGCCCTCAAACAGAATCCCAGGAATGTCTGGGCTGTTAATTGCTTTTGAAATACACTTGGCCATATTAGTCATCTAATTATTATTTGTGTCATTCTTGCAAGATTTTCTTAAAGGACAGTAGACTAGAGAGAACACCTGATTTTTCAATTTCATTAGAGTGTGTTTTGATGTCCATCTTCTAGTGCTTTTTCATTAACATTTTCTAATTCATTTTTCTTGTTGCAATGTAAGCCAATTGATTGGGAAGAAAAACAAACTGACTTCTTCTTTTTGTGTGGCTGATTTTGTTTCTGGATTTTTTTTTTTTGAGTCCAAAATTATTGTAATTAATTCAACTTAGTTAATTCTTGATTCTTTTGTTGGTTCTTGTTGAGTTTCTATGAAGTGTACGCTTGTCGTCTGAAATGTGAGGAAGTAAGCAAGCAGTGGTATAGAATACTGGAGCAATATTGTGGGTTTTTTGTAGATTCTCATGCTTAAGAAGGTATGTAGAGATGGTCAGGAATGCTGAGAGAGCCTTATCACTTCATGAGTCTGAAGGAAGAAGTCTCTGATAGCTGGAAGTAATTATCACCTGCTAAAACATGCAAGAGCCGGGCAAGTAGCGTGGGAACAGAAAGAAGCTGCTTGAGCTGTAAAACAGTTCTAGAAAAAGAACAAATATGCTTCAAAAGGCTGTACAGTAAATTAGGCAGGAATTCAAGACTTATGTATTGAAGTGAAAGGCTGAGGCAGTTTTCTGTAGGAAGTCTAGGGATAAGGTACATATTGAAGATGCAGTTAATCATCTGAAATCCTGTATGCAGGGAGATGCCTTGTGACATTGTTCAAGAATAATTTCCTACTACTACAGTTTCTGTATGCAGGTGATAGAAGGATACAGTGTAAAGAGACATTTTGGAATCAAATTTTCAAGCCAAGGCTCTCAAGAAATAATACGGCTGTACTATACCCAGTCAATTTAATTGTTGTGGGTTTTTTTTTTAAATTTTTAGGTAATTCTTTTGGATGATTACACTACTAAATTACTGTCAATGTGCTGCAAAATGTCTGATCTACTGGCAGAGGGTATCACAGGTAAGTGTAATTCTTTGCAATGCGTGGATCACCATGTCCTGAGATGAAGGGAAAGAATTGAGTTGATGGTACTCTTACAAGAAATTGTCTTATTTTGAGGGTTGGAGGCAAGTAACTGTGGGGTATTACGCTATCAGGTTTGTGGCTTTTAGAATAATCAATTGATTTCAATTAATCTGTTTGAATAAAAAATGAAACACTTCTCTGCCTAGAGTTTCCAAATGTTTTTTTTTTTTTTAATAATTGAAGACTGATTTAAGGCTCATGGTTATTGATGTGGTTTACTTTGTTTGCTTGCTAATGTCAAGAAGATGAGGATGTTATCCATGAAGTAATGGATTTCTCAAGGAGGTTACCTGTCAACTGAAATGAATACAACATCTCAGTAAAGAATTAAGTGAACTATACAGAAACATAAAAGAATAGGTGAACTGTTTTTGTAATGTGTTCTGGTAGTGACTGTTATGCTGCTTTGAATGCATTTGTGTTCATGAGCAGTAGAGTTAGGATACGAAGGTATGGAAACATAAGTGCTTAAGAGAGGATGATAACAGGAGGCTAGACAAATTCATGAGGGAGGTTTGCAAGCAAGTGGATTCAGTGCAGAGATAAGAATTGAAATTTGAGTTATACGTTGCAAGGAAATCTTATGGCTTCTCTATGAAATGAGAGCTTTCTGTAATTAAAAACAAGTGTAACATTAAATGATATCGATTATTGCTTTACCAGTAGTAGAACTGTCAGCAGCATGACAAGTAACTATCCGTTTTCTCTGTAGCTTGGGAGTAATTTCTAGTAGATGTATTTCTTTTCCTTTCATGTGCTGGAGTTACTCAGATGTTCCTTGATGCTGACCACTGTCAAGAGTCAGTTGTGTCAACAGACAGATTGTGATGTATCTTGG